AAGGGGGGCTTAGTTCGAGCCGCACATGCACGTTTCCACGTTGCAAGCACTCAGGCTGTGTCAATGTGCCTTCGCAGTGGATGATGAGCTGCGCCCAAGTCGTTTGAGCAAACTGACAGCTCCATAAGAGATGCTCGTACGTTTATTCTTCACCGGCGCATCGAGATTTGGTGGAGCATAAAATTCCGGCTGGCTGAACCGTGTAAGAAGTTCAGTTGATGCGTCATCCAGTATGCAGTCCATAATTTATAATGTGAGATCAAGCCGATGAGTCCACAGGGTCTGGGGTTCCTGGTCCGTGGGGTCGTGCTGCCAGCCATTCGCTGCCGACATGGTTGGCAAACCTTTGGTTGCAACAGCTCACCGTCATGCAATGTCCTGTTTGCAATGGGCGTATGCAGCCGGTTGAGGTATATCACCAAGCTGGCGTTAGAGCGTGAATAATAATAAGACTTGCCTCAAAGACAAGTGCAGTTTCCTCAGTTTGCAGCTGTAAACAGCCCAGCGTTCGTCGGTCTTCACCTCCAGCGAAGGTATGTCTCCATCAAATTTTCAGTGATCCCCAGTGCTGGTCTGCGTCAGGCGGTATGGTGCTGTCGTGAGCGACCCAGATCCTGCCGTGTCCCATCAATCATGCCCGGGGCGGTGGACCTTCACAGAGAAGCTTGCGTAAACGGCGGCGGCTCCGAAGCGGTAGGCACCAGCGTCGTTATAAGAAACATCAGTATCCAGGTGCAGCGAGGCCAGATGCACGGCAATCGCCCTGTGACGCAACGTGAGTGTTCAGTATCGTGGAGAGGGCGGCGGATTCGTGAAGGTGTATCCCATCATCCCTGTTCGCTTGATGTCAGAACACTTATGGCGGCCCTTGGCACCCCAGTTTTCTATCATTAATGATAAGATGGCAATGCCACGGACAAACATATAAGAAAATATAAAGAAAACAAGGAAAAGATGCTTGTCACATCATATATATTTTCCATCTTCAAGACCACGAGTACCGTAGCATGGTTAATCAAAAAAAGAAAGATAATGAATTGAGCAGTCCATTGAAGCAAATCGTTCAAATGCTCGTAATTTTCCTACGTTTATTGCTATAATCAAACAGAAACTTTCGAGAACTGCAGATGGCCGTCTTTGTAAGACGTGAGCATAAGTTTTCATCATTCGTCGACTAAAAAGCAACGAAGCCTTTCTACTTCGGTGGAGAAGCATTAGCCCATCGAATGTGAAGCCTTATTAATACCACGATTTTACGCATGAAACAATCCTAATGATCTGCGCAATTCTCTGGAACACGGAGCAAACAATATTAATCGCATCGAGGTGTTAGCCGTAAGGGTCTCTTCATGTCGGGATAAATTGAGTCGGCGGCTTCCAATACAATGCTAGACTCCGTGGCTATGTCCAGGAGGGCTGAGATCCGGGCGTTAAGGCTTATCGTACCTAATGCAGCGAAGACTATCGAGACGCATCACGGTCACAATTGACGCGAAGAAGAACAGCACAGTAGATTGCAGACTTGTTTATACCAATGCAAATGTAGGAATGAGTCATCGCACTCTTCCAACCCACGAACTGAATCCAAGCCTGCTAGAGTTTATACAGCTACATACGTTACTGCACAAACTTATACGAGTCTTGCGTCACAAAATGGAGGCCATCAAAACATCAACCTTTGTGCTTTATATATTAGGACATTGATTACCCTATTCCGTAGATTGCATATAAAAGATAAGCTTCGAGCATTCTTGACATTCTTTGTAATTAGCAGATAAAACATTGCATAGCCTGTTTGAGATGTCACAGAGCATTGAAGTTGCGCCACATACTGTCTGCAAGACTAAGTTATATCAACGGATAATATCGTGCGTAATCACATGATACTTAATGGTACACGTCATCACGTCCAACACGATTGAACTCCACGTGAGATTGGCAGATTCATGATAACAAATGTCGAGTCAAGAATCAGTACGAGAGATATCTAATCAAGAGTTGTATGTAGGACGCACAGAGTAGCAAGTTCACCAACTAAGTACAATATATAGATCACTTTATATATTTGATATCTATCATACAGAGCCATTCAACTTTGAAAATGAAGATTGCACTGAGTTCTACACAAAAAAGATTGCAGAGATGTTTGTGTTTCTACAACTATTGCTTCAACAAATGACGCACGCTTATTTCTGTCCAAAATGATGGGCAGGAAGCTCGAGCACATTCAAGCACTTCTTCTAATTCTTAGCCTTATGGCTTTCTGTCCTACGTCGATGTGTATATATGGTATGCTGACAAGGTGTGCTGCTGACACGGTGTCCTTTTACTTCAATAGCAGCTGCTTGCCATGCAATCACATGTTCGCTTGCTTCCACACGTAAGCATCCAAAACACTTTGATTGCAGCTGCTTTAGTACCTATAGAGGCACCACTATTGATGATCTTGTTAATGTTCTGATCTGATTCAGGCCTATTAAATCATCTTCACAATCGGTAAAGCCATGACTAGCGTAATCACAGAGCGTATTTTTTGCATCTCCATTTTTTGCCAATCAGCTTTTAAAAAAGAAAAACACGTTGATGGCGATACGAAATTATCTGAACGCCATCGATACAGTGGCACTTGGTACTGATTTACAAGGATTTCATCACAATGCAAGTTGATTGGTCTGTGTTACCATTTGCAATATTTCCTTCATAGCTGTACCCGAGCTACTGTAGCTACGCTACTAATGCACTATGTGCAGAAGCACTATGTGCAGAAGAAGTAGTCAAACTACTGTAGCAAAGCTACGTATGCACTATGTGCAGAGGAAGACAAGCTCACAGAACTTCTACGTCTTAGGGTGCTTAACATTCCTAGGCTAGCTCGTAAGCTTGTGCCTATCGGTATTAACAACCGAGTCTCAAAGAGACTAGGTTATAAAGGTACTGATTCCTCAGGGGGGAATAGAACGCTCAAGCTGAAAGGCTTACAAAGCAGGTTTGAAGCTGATGTATATTTATGTTTATCTTCTAACACTAAGTATAGAAGCACCTATCCTATACTTAGTGCTAGTCACTATTTACTGGCTCTTTATCCTGTTATTGTTATGCAAACATGCATAGTCACTATACTTAGCTAAGTATAGTGACCATGTGGCTCTCTGCCACGATGCGACCCTTCGTACTTCATATACGGTCATCCTTTGTAGTTCAGGTACGGTCACCTACTTTTGTACCCAAGGTACAGCCACACCACATTGGTGTTGCAGGTGTGTATGTAAAATACACACCTTCGTGTAATTCCGTTGCAAATTTGCAACTTGCGTTCATGTCCTTCAATTATTGCTCACGACAAAAGCTTTATAAATCCAAGCTATCATTTTCAAGAAGTGTTATCGCAATGTAACGTCGTTCTCAGATATCGATGGCGAATGAAATTAAGATGTAAAAATGCGCGCTACCTTTTGGCTTGCATCGAGATTGATTGTTTTGATGTAAATAGCCAACAAACGCTCAAATTTTCAAAGCTGATGACTTCTTTGTTCACAGCACATCAATTGTTGTAATCTAAGCTATATAACACAACCTCTCTCGCTTCGAAATCTTTGTATTTGAACTAATTTTGAAAAAAAGGGCTTTCGGACTTCTCAATGTATTTCACACAGACGATGTTTCGATGTACCAATATGTCAGTTGATCGGTCTGTATACATTCACAATAGCTCCTTTTTATATTACACCAGAGCCGTCGTTGATGCCGTAACTGCCCATTACGAGGACGATGCCGCCCTGTTTCTTTGGATAGCCAGAATGGCCAACTACCGGTGTAGATGATAGGAGATTTCCAGACTGCACATCACTGACCTTGAGAGCAATGCCTCCCCCGAGCGACCATTAAGCATGGCAGTCACGAACTGGTGATGCACCATGGCGACTTCTTGAGACAGGCGATAAGTCACCATTCTGATCCACCATTACCCCCGGACCATCGACACCGCCATGGGTAAACTTTTAGTGCGACCGAAGTGAATAGCTTTCACCGTCAGTCTTTTGCGGGCGTAATACCTCCGTTTGAGCGTCGTTATTACAATTAAAGCTTTTAGAGTGATAGTGACGCAACATTCGTCAACAACGAATGAGAAGCAGGTAATCTTGGTAATAAAGAGGCATCTTTTCCGTGTTTAATCGTCTGGATACTGAATCTACCCAGATAAGTATGGTACGTCCGTCTGACATGGTGCCCACTAACGTTAGCATTACGCTATATGAGACGTGTTTACACGAGCTTAGGCGTATTGATTTGATTGCAGATACCAACGTTTTCAACCAACTGGTGCATCTGTCGATTAACTTTTGATGTCAATATAAATTACAAAAATGACTCGTGAACCCTAAACCACCACTCAAGAATGCAAACGTACCTTCATTTTCAAATGTAAACACACGTTTCCAGTGCGCACTTAATTGCCTTAGCTGGTTGTTCCCTCAGACGAGTAATTGGTTCAAATTGTCTGCATACAAACGAATCTGCCGAAAATAATACGCTTTAAACAGATAACCTCTCAATAGCTCCACGAACACGATCGTGAACAGTCACAGATTGATTGATGCGATATCACGACCTTGTGATACCTAAATGACTGCGACGTGTGTTGTTCATGATTCGTCGGTCAGCAAATGATATAAAAGAGTATGAGCTGAATACTGCCGGTCAATGAAGACAAGTATACAAAAGTGACACGCAAAAACGCACCGAATGAATAGAGAATGAAGGTAAAAGCTGCGCTTTTGCATCCAGACACTTGATGACCTCAAGCTTTCACTTATTTAGAACTATTGGAGAATATATATTAAAAGCTTTATGAAGCATGACATCAAAGTGAGTCTGTCAAATGAAGAAAATAAATGTAGTGTAGCAACCAGAGCCATGAGGGTAGCAATTCCATAGCTACTGTCTAGAAGCAGCATTTTTGACGCTTTTCAACGCCACTGGCATTCTTCTTGTTCATGCGCCTACTTTGCAAGGCCATTGATCTTGTCCGCCCACGAGTCAGCCGTCTCCTGCACCTTGGATACCACGGTTGAAACGGTACTATTCACCTTCTTTTTTGCATCCGAGGCCGTGTCTTGGACGGTGCTCCTGGCATTTGAAGTCATGTCCTGGGCCTTGCTTCTGGTATCTGACGCCGCGTCTTGCATTCTACTGTTCGCATCTGATGCCGTGTCCTGGACTTTGTTCCTGGTATTTGAGGCCGTGTCCTGTGCTCTGCTTCTCGCATCCGATGCCGTATCCTTTACTTTGCTCTTGGCGTTCTCCTTCTCATTTTGAAAGCGATTCCCTGCATGACGCGCTTGAGACTTAGCATCAGATGTAAAGTCATCCGCCTGTTCCTTAGCGCGGTCCATCCAGCTATTATCATCGTCATTCCACTTGCTCTTTGCTTCCTCCTGACGACGCTTCATTGCATCCTGCACACAATGACGGAAGTCCTGTGTGTCCCGCCCGCAGCTGGCTTGGTCGAACGAGCTGCCCCAGAGTTCTGGAACCAATCTCCGTAGCAGGCCTTCATACGCTCCTTCAGCTCTTCACACTCGGCAAATACTTCCATCTTTATATTGTGGGTATCAACGGGAACAAGATTTTACTAATGAGCATTGGAAGAAACACAAACTTGGAGAAACATGAGAAGCGACGTGATTAGGGACACGGCGACGAGAGTCGCGCATGACTTTTTTTGGGGAGCATGTTTTGCAACGGCAATCACGTGCTTTTTTCACTACCTGTACGGGCTAATACTGGCTGCCTGACATATAACGTCAAGATTCCTCCCGGTATCATCTAAAACGCCTCCACCTTTGAAACCGTGCCAGGATAGTGTCAACCAACATGACGACGACGACATCCTCTTCTCCTTCTTCATGCTTCTATTATCGCTGAAACCTCCATAAAACGATCACTCTTTCCTCTCACAAGTTTTGCATTGTCCATTAATCAATCTGTCGCTCTTGTTGGCGCCGTCCTTGGTGATATCTAGGTTGTGATATGTTTACGGAGATCTTGCAACAACCTAGACCCTGGAGGATTTGTAGACCTTCAAAACCCTTTTGTAAACTTTAGTGCCATGTGTTTCCATACAAATGGCAATGCCTACATTTCCGTAATATATGATCTAGTCAAAGTTCTAGATGCATTCAAGAAACGACGAAACATGATAAAATCCATGTGATTCAGTATCTCGTACCACTGTATCCATGACTTTCATAATTGGTAGAAAAATGCAAATGCGAAAATTGAGCTCAGTGATTCACACTAGCCATGACTTTACCGATCGTCAAGATGATTCAATAGGTCTGAATCAGATCAGAACATTAACAAGATCATCAATAGTGGTGCCTCTATAGGTACTAAAGCAGCTGCAATCAAAGTGTTTTGGATGCTTACGTGTGGAAGCAAGCGAACATGTGATTGCATGGCAAGCAGCTGCTATTGAAGTAAAAGGACACCGTGTCAGCAGCACACCTTGTCAGCATACCATATATACACATCGACGTAGGACAGAAAGCCATAAGGCTAAGAATTAGAAGAAGTGCTTGAATGTGCTCGAGCTTCCTGCCCATCATTTTGGACAGAAATAAGCGTGCGTCATTTGTTGAAGCAATAGTTGTAGAAACACAAACATCTCTGCAATCTTTTTTGTGTAGAACTCAGTGCAATCTTCATTTTCAAAGTTGAATGGCTCTGTATGATAGATATCAAATATATAAAGTGATCTATATATTGTACTTAGTTGGTGAACTTGCTACTCTGTGCGTCCTACATACAACTCTTGATTAGATATCTCTCGTACTGATTCTTGACTCGACATTTGTTATCGTGAATCTGCCAATCTCACGTGGAGTTCAATCGTGTTGGACGTGATGACGTGTACCATTAAGTATCATGTGATTACGCACGATATTATCCGTTGATATAACTTAGTCTTGCAGACAGTATGTGGCGCAACTTCAATGCTCTGTGACATCTCAAACAGGCTATGCAATGTTTTATCTGCTAATTACAAAGAATGTCAAGAATGCTCGAAGCTTATCTTTTATATGCAATCTACGGAATAGGGTAATCAATGTCCTAATATATAAAGCACAAAGGTTGATGTTTTGATGGCTTCCATTTTGTGACGCAAGACTCGTATAAGTTTGTGCAGTAACGTATGTAGCTGTATAAACTCTAGCAGGCTTGGATTCAGTTCGTGGGTTGGAAGAGTACAATGACCAAAACAATATCCTTTCTCATTCTTCAATTTGCATTGGTTGCAACAAGCCTCAAACCTACTCTGTTGATCGTCTACTCATCAATTGTGACACTAATGCGTCTCGCCATTGTGTTCGCTGCCTTTGTTGCGACAAGCCTTAACCCCCGGATCTCAGCGCTCCCGGACACGGCTACCGAGTCAAGCAATATATTGAAAGCTTTTGGCTCGCCCCATTCCGACAGGGAGCGGCACCTGCGCCAAGCTGATGGTAGTCCATTACCTGCATGCAACGATCTAAAAGCCATGTGCTAAGTTATGAACCCGCTATACAAACAGTCTGAATGCGTGGAGGATTGTGCGCTGCGTCACCGGATGTGGGTGATTGTGCGTCACAGGGATTGGGTGGCGCTTCGTCACCGCTGACGCTACGTTAACGCTGCGTCGTAGCGGTGGTATGCTCACCGCCGCATGCGTATCATCCTTCGTTGTAGGCGAAATGTGATGCTGCTCTACCGACGACGAATGGTGAAAATATTTGTTGACCTTCTACAAAGATGGCTATCTGCATGTTTTTTAGGGATTCTGTTGGATTATGACCATTAAAGAAGGGTGCATTACGAGTATTCGAATGATTTGTGTCAAGGTGCTGCTCATCTTGTGATCTTTTCTTTTTTGGTAGATTATGCTATAGGTACTTGTAGTCTTACAGAGTTGACTAATTAAAAATGGTGTGTTAAGCCTCTATACCTTGTTTTCTTTTTCTTTTATTCTCTTTTTTTACGTTTGTTCGTGGTGTTGCGTTTAATCATTCTAGTACATTCCAATCAAGTTGTCGAGCCTACCATAATTGTTTAAAATCAGGCGAACAGGGCTGGCAGAATACACCTTTCACGTTTCCACTGTCTGCCCTACACCGTACGCCACTCAAGTTGCGCCGCCAGGCGATTGCCATACTTCCTGCGTTGCCTTTTTGATACTGGGGCTTCTTTTAATGACGCCGGTACCCCATTGCTTACAGCCTCCGGCGTTCACGAAAGCTTTATCTTTGACTGGTCACCATCCCGGGCATGATTGATGTAAGGCCGGCAAGATATGGGTCGCCGAAGATAGCGCGATGCCGCCATGCCACCTGATGCAGACTAGCAGTGGAGTTAACTGAGTTTGATGAAGGTACACCTTTGCTAGCGGCGAAGAAAGACGAGCTCCAGGATGTTTACAACTGCAATCTGCGGGACACTGTACTTGTCTTCAAAGCACACCGTAGCATCCACGAGTTTCCTCGGACGATCAGATCGGCAGCTTGTTGGTCTACCACAGCGACTGCGTATGCTCATTGCAAACATGACTATGGCAAACCTTTGGTTGCAATCGCTCACCGTCATGCGACCATGGGGACAGTGAATAGCTGGCAGCATAACATGATATACCGGGACCGCCATACCTTGTCTCATCTGGACGACCTCACATGATCAAGTATGGACTAAATACCGGATTGCAATCTTCAACTGAACTTCTTTCACGGGTCAGCCCACTGAGAATCCGTGCTACACCGGGACTTAATGCACCGGTGAACGGTGAACGTACGAGCACCTCTTATAAGAGGTGCTCGTTTGCCCAAGCGACTGAGCGTAGCTCATCAGCCATTGGGTAGGCACATGGATACAGCCCGGTGCTTGCAACGTTGGAAACGCGCATGTGCGACTCGAACCAAGCCGCCCTTCTCGTCCTATATCCGGCAGATCGTAGCCCAACGGTTCCCTGGCAAACATTCGTCTGGATGACTTTACTGCCGGTTCGGCTCGATGTTGGACGCTCCTATGCACGGTCGCGACCACGTCTAGCACTTTAATCGTGCATTCCGTAGCAAACAGATGATGGCACCGGAAGGAATGTCAACTTACCTTCTTAGTGTGCAAGTGCGACTGAGCTTAAGTAAATTAAACGTCAGACTAGTCGTAGATGGTTGAATGACACAGGTATTGTTTCCACAAAATTCATCATGTACAGAAGTGTTAGCTTAGCAAGCGATGGTGAAAAGAGGGATAACACGCGTCGCTTAGTCTGTCTCACGCTTAACATAACAAAGAATTAGTGTAGGCGGCGTCATACAAAGATTCCACCGTGCTGTACATTGCCAGATCCGACGTATCATGTCCACCCGCAATCAAATCAATACGCCCAAGGCAATCTTTACGTTTGAACTTGTTTTCCATCTTGTTATGGAACGTTCTGCTTGATGTTTATTTTCCGCCTTGTTTCATGATGCGTATGTTTGCTCAGGACATAAATGTTTCGCACAGACTGTTCAATTTGTGCACAAAAACTGAGTAGAAGCTGGCTTGGAAAAGAAACTTGTGAGCTCGCGTACCGATGAAAGCTTTTGAACCAGACGGCTAACCCGTGCTAACGGTCACCGTGAAGCAAATATCTTGACCACGTTGTGGCTCTGTTAAAGATCTCACGTGCTCATATCGCATTTGGAGCTGAAGAGCACTTGGTACGTCTGTGCTCTGTCGTAAATGACTGTCAAGTTGTTGCTAAACGTTTTCTGGTTACACAATGCAGACAACTACTCAATTTTTTTGGGATACATGGTGCGACAAAGCCCACTGCTATCTTTTTTCAGCTCGAGGAATTTGGTCAAGCTGGAGGACATTGAGCTTGTCTCGACGGAGATTTTCGGCCTGTTCCAGCTCCTGACCGAGGACGATGATACAAATTCTTCCAAGTCCTCGGTCGGTGCTCTGTAGCGCATGAACGCTCACTTGACTGCTGCTGTGGTCTCGATATCAGAAAAGCTGCAAGCGAAGTGCTTTCTGCGACGACAACGACACGATGTGCAGCGGCATCCGTGCAAGAACTACTACTAGAACCATTCATTTGGCCCAGTCGGTGACTTGTAGCACTGGCGATATTGACACGTATATCACTAGCGTAGCAGCAAGCGATAGACGTTTCAACAGGGTTAAAAGTATCCATAACCTTATTAACGTATGAAACTGAAGCCACCGAGATCGTATCGTCCATGCCTTTTACTACTTGGTTTTTGTATGAGTTTGACCGTTACCCAATCATTCGCATCATGTTTGACTACGTAACGACTTCCGTGTTATCATGCTTTGTATCATTAATCAATTTACAGTCAAAAGGTCAAGAAAGAGAGAGATCAAGTAGAATTGATCCTCAACTGAATGACAATGGCGCTTCAATCAAACAACGAAACATCACTTAACACTCGAGAAAAGGAGAGACTTCTTCATACAAAACAACTCTCTCGCACTCCATATCACTCGATTATTGTAAGTGTCTGTTCTTTTATTCTCGTGACCGAGTTCTGCGAACGTCTGGCCTACTATGGTCTCTCCGGGTCATTGCCTATCTTTTTCCATCGTAATTTAGGCCTTAGTATGGTTCTAGCTACAGAGCTCAACTCGACATTCACGTCACTCTCATACCTCACGCCACTTCTCGGCGCGTACGTAGCAGACCGTCACCTCGGTCGCTTTTCGACGATCGTTATCTTCTGCTTGCTCTATATCGTCGGGCTCATGCTGTGCGTCTTTGCATCGTTGCCAGCTGTATCGTCACTGCCACTCTTTATGCTGGGATTGTTTGGAGGCGTCGGCTTTGGAGCTGGAGGGATTAAACCAAATGTTGTCGTGCTGGGAGCTGATCAGTTTGACGTGGACATTCCAATCCAACGAGCAGAGAAAGACAGCTTTTTCAATTGGTTCTACTGGGCCATTAATGTGGGGGCGACATTCAGTTACGGAGTGCTCACGAACTTGGCCGTGAACGGTCTGCCGCCGTATATTTCGGTGGACTATGGTTTTTTTGCGTCTTTTGCAATTCCGTCAGCGACGTTTGTGTTGGCAGTTTTGGTATTTTATGCTGGAAAAGCACGGTACCGTCGCGTACCACCTAAGGGTAGTGCACTCGCCAAGTTTTTCTCCGTCTTGATTGAGGCAGGTTCACGTTCAGGTCGTGGAAAATTTGTGCTTAGCGGCGGCTTGGCGTTTGTACCGGGGATTGTGCTTACAACCGTGTCGTATTTTGTCCAGGATGAATTCATTCACATGGCGGTGGCGCTGGCTGGTGCGGGGGCTGTGGCGTATGGAACCTTTGTACTCATTTTCTCGGGTGCTACGGGTTGGCTGTGGTTGGCATTGCACACGAATGGTGGGTCATATTCGTCCCAAGAAGTGCAGGATGCGGCGCAAGTGATGCGTTTGGCGCCCTATCTTGGGATTATAATCGTATTTTGGGCCGTGTACGGCCAGATGAACTCCAACTTTGTCGTGCAGGGCTGTCAAATGGATCTGCGAGTGCAAGGAAGCGAAGGAGTGCTGCTTTCGTCCGCAATGCTCAACGTCATTGACTCGGGCGTTATTCTTGTTTTCATTCCCGTGTTTGATCGCCTGCTCTACCCGTTGCTGACTAAGATGGGCATTTATCCGTCACTGCTGCGCAAGATTGGCGCCGGTCTCATGTTTTCTCTCTTGGCCATGCTGGCTGCAGGTTGGACTGAGCAGATCCGCAAGAATAGCCCTATCGTTGAGGGTATTACTTCAAATTGCAGCGCTATGGGTGAATCTTTGCCCATGTCGACGATCGGTGTGTGGTGGCAGATCCTGCAGTACGTGCTTGTCGTTATCATCTTCAACTGGCTCTATGAGGGTGCACGCGTCGTCCAAAGAAAGGATTTGAAGTAGTTCTTAGAGCGCCGCATTCTGCAATATCCCTCGTCGAGCCCGCTGAGGCGGTCTAGCTGTAGCCTTTTCACACTGTATAAGTCGCCAAATAGAATAGTATCGTAATTCTGTCACGTTTACTGCTGAAGCGTGAAAATAAATGCTCGCGGTCCATGGATTCATTCGGCGCGTCCACATTGACTACATGTTCACAAACCAAAAGTTAATTGTTCAGTATAATGAATAGCGTAACTGAGTTTAAGGCGAACAGCTTTATTCATTACAGAATCCACTTGAGTCCAAGAACTTTCTTAACTGGTGCTATTAGTTCTTAGTTTGCTTTATACGATCGAGAGTTTTACATTCGATATTTATGAATAAAAATCTGCACCTGCAATTTCTTCACATCAGTTTTGAATTCATCTCATTAGGAAACAGATTTACATGAAGACACACAGTCCACAAGATGTTACGTCAAGTGGAAATGAGCACGATACAAGCATGAGATTAAAGTTGCAAGTACAACGTCTACTTTGCACGTAATACCAATGTTTTAGTAGCAAGGAAACCGTGTGGACATGAACGACTAGAACGGATCTAGTGCTTGCTCCAAATTCTGAAACAACAGACTGTTCGTGATCTCGTGGCAGACTTCAGTGTGAAGCTCATCTACCATTTATACGGCAATGCTTCAATCTTGAAGGAGAGCCAACTGAGGCGGGTAATTGAGCTTTTGTGGATGTTGGCCGGCGTTCGATAGTTTTCTCCATCAACCCTACTTGTTTAAGAGCAAAAAGCGGAATTCACTAACTTTGTGTCTTTCGTATCAATCATCTGCTCTACAAGCAGCGCCGCACAAGGACTGCATACGACAAAATCTTTATAGCTCAACCAAACGTGGCATCTCTCAAACTTACTTCCTGCCACTGCGCTGGAGCTGCAATTTCTTACGCAGTCCCCTCGCGGCGCGTGAGAGCGCAGGAGAAAATCCTGACACGGTGTCGAGACCCGGAGGAGGAACATGGTACTCAAATGACTGAGACACAAACATGAAGGTCACCAGCATCACCAGCACGAGCAACGCCATCATGTAATAGATGTACTCAAGGTGGCCATCGTTGAGGTCGCTCGTAATCCAAGACGAAAAGATGCTGTTAAGAGCACCCGCGACAATAAATCCCAATGTGGTTGTAAGCAAGTTTAGAGCTTGACACACGCTCCGCATGGACTCAGGGACTTCCGAATAAAAGAGATCGTACGATGATATACTCGTGAGGATCTCGGCCACGCCTACTAGCACGTACTGCGGGATCTGCCACCACACACCGATCGTCGACATGGGCAAAGATTCACCCATAGCGCTGCAATTTGAAGTAATACCCTCAACGATAGGGCTATTCTTGCGGATCTGCTCAGTCCAACCTGCAGCCAGCATGGCCAAGAGAGAAAACATGAGACCGGCGCCAATCTTGCGCAGCAGTGACGGATAAATGCCCATCTTAGTCAGCAACGGGTAGAGCAGGCGATCAAACACGGGAATGAAAACAAGAATAACGCCCGAGTCAATGACGTTGAGCATTGCGGACGAAAGCAGCACTCCTTCGCTTCCTTGCACTCGCAGATCCATTTGACAGCCCTGCACGACAAAGTTGGAGTTCATCTGGCCGTACACGGCCCAAAATACGATTATAATCCCAAGATAGGGCGCCAAACGCATCACTTGCGCCGCATCCTGCACTTCTTGGGACGAATATGACCCACCATTCGTGTGCAATGCCAACCACAGCCAACCCGTAGCACCCGAGAAAATGAGTACAAAGGTTCCATACGCCACAGCCCCCGCACCAGCCAGCGCCACCGCCATGTGAATGAATTCATCCTGGACAAAATACGACACGGTTGTAAGCACAATCCCCGGTACAAACGCCAAGCCGCCGCTAAGCACAAATTTTCCACGACCTGAACGTGAACCTGCCTCAATCAAGACGGAGAAAAACTTGGCGAGTGCACTACCCTTAGGTGGTACGCGACGGTACCGTGCTTTTCCAGCATAAAATACCAAAACTGCCAACACAAACGTCGCTGACGGAATTGCAAAAGACGCAAAAAAACCATAGTCCACCGAAATATACGGCGGCAGACCGTTCACGGCCAAGTTCGTGAGCACTCCGTAACTGAATGTCGCCCCCACATTAATGGCCCAGTAGAACCAATTGAAAAAGCTGTCTTTCTCTGCTCGTTGGATTGGAATGTCCACGTCAAACTGATCAGCTCCCAGCACGACAACATTTGGTTTAATCCCTCCAGCTCCAAAGCCGACGCCTCCAAACAATCCCAGCATAAAGAGTGGCAGTGACGATACAGCTGGCAACGATGCAAAGACGCACAGCATGAGCCCGACGATATAGAGCAAGCAGAAGATAACGATCGTCGAAAAGCGACCGAGGTGACGGTCTGCTACGTACGCGCCGAGAAGTGGCGTGAGGTATGAGAGTGACGTGAATGTCGAGTTGAGCTCTGTAGCTAGAACCATACTAAGGCCTAAATTACGATGGAAAAAGATAGGCAATGACCCGGAGAGACCATAGTAGGCCAGACGTTCGCAGAACTCGGTCACGAGAATAAAAGAACAGACACTTACAATAATCGAGTGATATGGAGTGCGAGAGAGTTGTTTTGTATGAAGAAGTCTCTCCTTTTCTCGAGTGTTAAGTGATGTTTCGTTGTTTGATTGAAGCGCCATTGTCATTCAGTTGAGGATCAATTCTACTTGATCTCTCTCTTTCTTGACCTTTTGACTGTAAATTGATTAATGATACAAAGCATGATAACACGGAAGTCGTTACGTAGTCAAACATGATGCGAATGATTGGGTAACGGTCAAACTCATACAAAAACCAAGTAGTAAAAGGTATGGACGATACGATCTCGGTGGCTTCAGTTTCATACGTTAATAAGGTTATGGATACTTTTAACCCTGTTGAAACGTCTATCGCTTGCTGCTACGCTAGTGATATACGTGTCAATATCGCCAGTGCTACAAGTCACCGACTGGGCCAAATGAATGGTTCTAGTAGTAGTTCTTGCACGGATGCCGCTGCACATCGTGTCGTTTGTCGTCGCAGAAAGCACTTCGCTTGCAGCTTTTCTGATATCGAGACCACAGCAGCAGTCAAGTGAGCGTTCATGCGCTACAGAGCACCGACCGAGGACTTGGAAGAATTTGTATCATCGTCCTCGGTCAGGAGCTGGAACAGGCCGAAAATCTCCGTCGAGACAAGCTCAATGTCCTCCAGCATGACCAAATTCCTCGAGCGGAAAAAAGATAGCAGTGGGCTTTGTCGCACCATGTATCCCAAAAAAATTGAGTAGTTGTCTGCATTGTGTAACCAGAAAACATTTAGCAACAACTTGACAGTCATTTACGACAGAGCACAGACGTACCAAGTGCTCTTCAGCTCCAAATGCGATATGAGCACGTGAGATCTTTAACAGAGCCACAACGTGGTCAAATATTTGCTTCACGGTGACCGTTAGCACGGGTTAGCCGTCTGGTTCAAAAGCTTTCATCGGTACGCGAGCTCACAAGTTTCTTTTCCAAGCCAGCTTCTACTCAGTTTTTGTGCACAAATTGAACAGTCTGTGCGAAACATTTATGTCCTGAGCAAACATACGCATCATGAAACAAGGCGGAAAATAAACATCAAGCAGAACGTTCCATAACAAGATGGAAAACAAGTTCAAACGTAAAGATTGCCTTGGGCGTATTGATTTGATTGCGGGTGGACATGATACGTCGGATCTGGCAATGTACAGCACGGTGGAATCTTTGTATGACGCCGCCTACACTAATTCTTTGTTATGTTAAGCGTGAGACAGACTAAGCGACGCGTGTTATCCCTCTTTTCACCATCGCTTGCTAAGCTAACACTTCTGTACATGATGAATTTTGTGGAAACAATACCTGTGTCATTCAACCATCTACGACCAGTCCGAAAACAATAATCACTTGAGCTTGGTCCCAATCCACAAGACGTACTAACATTCTTATTTCCCACTGACGTTAGTAGTCGTCCCGCCACAGCCGCAGGAGACAAAATATATGGCGTCTAGATGACACCAGGAGACTGGCCTAGCAATGACAACGCGATCGGTCTCGCAACGGGAGACGAAGTACAAGCTTTTTACATGATTGTAGATGGCGCAATGTCCAATAATGGCATTTCTTATAGTTAAGGTAACACCAAGGCAGCTTCAAATAATAATGGCCCCGGGACGGTGGAAGTCATTTACTTCGGTCGCAATTAAAAGTTTACCCATGGTGACGACGATGGTCCGGGGTAATGGCGGATCAGAATGATGACCTCGTCGCCTGTCCCTGCTCGAAGGTCGCCATGATGCACACCACCAGCTCGTGACTGCCATGCTTAATGGTCACTCGGGGGGGAAGGCCATTGCTCTCAAGGTAGTTGGTGCGCATTCTGGAGATCTCCTAACCATCTACGCCGAATTTCGGCAATTCTGGCTATCCAGTGACGAAGAGGCAGGGTGGCATCGTCCTTGGCATCGGTGGTAACGACATCACAACCACGGCTCTGGTGTAAGCTTCTGTAACGGGGTTACACGAAGGTGTGTATTTACATACACACCTGCAACACCATTGTAGTGTGGCTGTACCTTAGGTACCAAAAGTAGGTGATGTGACCGTACCTGAAGTACGAAGGGTCGCATCGTGGACGTGGTCACTATACTTATTTAAAGTATAGCGACTATGCATGTTTGCATAAAAGGCTAAATAGCCAGTAATAGTGACTAGCACTAAGTATAGGATAGGTGCTTCTATATTTAGTGTTTTGAAGATAAACATTAATATAAATCAGCTTCAAACCTGCTTTGTAAGCCTTCCAGCTTGAGCGTTCGATTCCTTTTAAGGAATCAGTATCTTTGATACTAGTCTCTTTGAGACGCGGTTACAACAACCAATAGGCACAAGCTTACGAGCTAGCCTAGGAGGATTAAACACCCTAAGACGTAGAAGTTCTGTGAGCTTGTCTTCCTCTGCACATAGTGCATACGTAGCCTTGCTACAGTAGTTTGACTACTCTTCTGCACATAGTACATCTGCACATAGTGCATAAGTCGCGTAGCTACAGTAGCTCGGCTACACCTGGTAGCACTTGTAGTCAATCCCGCAACTGGGTTTGCGACTACTTCTCTGTGTGAGAATGGACATCTATGAGATGTCAGCGGTTGGCCTGTCACAGTCACAACAGGAAGAGCTGCACAAGCTGCTCCCTATCCTTGGCCCTAAGTGCGTAGAGTACCTCATCGCCCAGGGCGAAGAAGAGGTTAACAAGCGTGATAGTGTTGCTGATTGTGCTATCTCCATCTGCGCGGTCCAGTCCCTCGGCGTCGCATATTTACCACAGGTAATGTAGCCTCGAGGGTTGTTCTAGCATCCCAATTATGAACCAGATAGAACGTTGTCTCCTTCCGGACTCGTTCTTGCGCGGTGCTCATCGCAAACGTTAGTCGTTCTGCGTACTCGTTCCAATCCTGCTGTCCGACTTCCGAGACATACATCTTGATTGACCTAGTCAGGGTCTGAAGCATCATCTCCGCGGTACCGTTTGTCTGAGGTGGATAGGCCATGGTACCCTGTCAACGCCGGCCCACCTGCGACTAAACGCCCGAAAGAAATCCAGCATAAATCGTGGCTATCGATCGTGGCGGATTATCTCGCTAGCACCAAAACAGCGAAAAACGCATTCATCGTACACTTCAGCTATCTTCTGTGCCGTTCGCAACGCACTCGCCGTGGCTATCACATACCGGTAGACCTCGGTCTTTCGAGGTTGACCTTGGTCTGTCAGTGATAAGCTTTGGTCTATTATTGGTAGAACTTGGTTTTTAGAGGTTAACCCAGGTCTATCATTGGTAGATTTTGGTCTATTTTGAGGTCGACCCTGGTCTATCATTGGTATACCTTGGCCTTCTGAGGTCAACCCTGGTCCATCATCGATAGAACTTATTCTTTTGAGGTCGACCCTGGCCTCTAGTGTGGTGCATAAAGCGAAGTGACATAAGGTTTGAAGGTAGAAGGAAAGTAGATGAACGCAAGTATATTCAAGTAGAAATGCCTACGGGGTGGGGTCAAACTTGTCCCGGAGACGTGGTACCGAGTACCCAGGATGGGGCTCGGACAAAAGACGGTGCTGGGTGATCCAGGGGCTGGTGGAGTCGGAGACCCTCAGGGCTTCTAGCAGGTCGGCAGGATCCGACCCTTTTCCACCCACTGGGAACCAGTATATCACGCAGCGAGGTCGGGAAAGGTGCCGGAAGAAGGGGTCGAGCAGGATGTCGATATCACACCGACCGTCACTCATCCCTTTGAAAAGTAGGTCGACGACCCCTCGCCACGCCCTCATCGCACGACCACGATGCTTCTTCCGCGCATTGCAGTACGACGAGAGCAAGGAGTGGGCGCGCGCTTGATCTTTAGAAATCCATAGGCAGGGGTCTCAAATCGCTTGGCTGTGATCGTCTCCAAAACTCAGAACAGCCTCCTCCAATTCCGCGAGCCAGACCACTGGCTGGAAAGATACAGGTGGGGTCGGGACTCGAGCTGACAGCCACGATCGGGCGACCAAGAGGCTCGGACGCATTGAAGAGCTGACCACGACGGTTTCCACATGGAAGGTCGATCGACCTTCCCGTCTGGCGGACCGAAACATCCCCAAGGCAGTTTCAGGCGGTCGACCAAGTCGCTAGGAGTCATCGTCACGACACTCAACGAGCTGACCAGGTCGACCGAACAAGGCGCTACCTCCGCAGCAGTAAATGATTTCACCTGCATATACCCAGGAATGAAGTCACCCTTTGGAAGTGTAGGTGACTCCCCAGCGGCGAAGTCCGCCTTGGCGACTGGGGCGGGGGCAGGGGGCCTTCTTTCCCGTAACCGACTCGGTCTCGGAGTCCGAAAATCCGAAGATCCGAACATGGCTCGGAATAACTCTTGACCCGGAAGAGTGACCGGTCGGGGGACAGAGTCGGCCGAGACAGATGGGAGTGGCGGATTGGTTGGCGCGTGGAGATACCGGGAAGATCGCGACCGAGCCAAGGTCGCCCGGACCACTTCGCCGTCGTCGCTTGCAGTGTCGTCATTCGGGTCAGGAGAGGGTACCGAAGGTAGACCCCGGGAGGTCCCCGACTTGGGAGCCGACGAAGCGGAAGTGCTGGTACTCAACTTGGCAGCCTTGGAGACCTTGGCGCTCGTCTTGGCCGATGGGCGCCGAGGTCGCTTACCCGTCACCGGAGGCACTGTGGGGGTCGTCACGGGAGGAGCTACGGGATCCTTGAATGGATTCGTGCTGTAATCCTCGTTCTCCAGCTCCGCCATCATGAGAGAGCGTATCGGTTGCGATGGCGAATTGACTACCGCCAGAGCCGCTACGCTCTCTCATGCTGGAGCCCCTCTAGCAACTGAACCACGAGATTGTTAGTGTCTAGCAGCTCTCTCTCGAGACGCTCACACCTGGCGGTCCAGTAGGCGTCGGGGGAGGGTACGGGAGTTGGTCGACCTCGCACGCCTCAAGTCTGCGTCCATACGCGCTTAGGCGGGCCTGTAGATCGCGCAGCATCTGATGTACGTCTTGGGTCCGGGGGATCACTCGACGGAGCAATGGGCGGGACACAAGTGGCCGTCCTCATGGGGTCCACCACAGCAGAGGAGCAGGAGGTAGACAGAGGATCATCCACGACTGGTGGACTCTCATCACCCACGGCTTCAGAAGAAACCGTCGTAGACTCCCTTGGTTCTGGCACCCGGAAAGAAGTGTCGATCGGCAGTAGGGAGGGAGCCTGGGCCTCTGGTCAGTAGCGAGTGCAGGAGTGACCAAGACCGGCTCCTCAGGTGGTGGGTCTACCCCAGAGGAAGGAACAGCTATAGTCACATCAAGTCAGATAGCAGATATCAAGCGCAAACAAGCTAGGAGTACTTACGCGATGAAGAAGTCGAATACATCCGCGTGTTCAAGCGGCTGCACAGTTGACCAAGTGCATAGGGCGGCTGTGGTGAAGCGTTCAAGAACTGGGAGGTCAGAGGGCCAGTGTGTCAAAGAGAAAGGGACTTGCCAAGGCGGGACGACCGTTGGGTAAGGGACAGAGATACGGGGCGCTTAAAAGGGATGGGGAACGACCGTTGGATGAGGAGATTGTACATTCAGAGAAGTTAAACGCGGTTAGGCCGATGGACCGAGGTGAACCCCTGTCGTTTCGATGTTGACTCTGGTCCCTCGTTGGTAGACCTTGGTCTTTCGAGGTTGACCCTGGTCTCTCGTTGATAGACCATGGTCTTTCGTGGTAGACCCTAATCCCTCGGTCGGTGGACCCTCGGCCCCTTGGCCCCTCAGTCACCCGGCCCCACGGCCCCTCGCCAAGCAGAATCAAGAATCAGGTCTCGGGGGTAAGGATAGAGTAAAGAAGTTAAAAGATAGGACTACACTAAATACTACTCAATTTGCAATTTACATAGCACGCCTCCGTCGTGCTCTCAAGTAACTTGACTAAGTCTACCCACCTGTTCCGGGAAGGGATATGTTTTGGCCCCCCCGTAGAAGACAATTGTGTGGTAAGACCCAAGTGTGAATAGATCCCCAGGATATATTTCTCCTGTGGGTTCGTCTGAGTAGCACCCCCCAAATCAACCCGCTATCGGAAGCGGTCTCCCTATCCTAGTGGTCCGGGAGCAAGTAAAGGTCAGGCGGTTAACACTCCTGAGATATCAAGGAAAAGGAAGGAAAAGGCCAGGGTTGAGAATCTCCCCTGAAGAATTTGGTTATAAGTCCACCCTCGACCTAGTCGACCGAGTGGCCACCTACCCGCCTACGAGTGAAGTATACCCACTCGAGGCACCCCAAGGTCGACCTTTCTCAAGGCCGACATCACATCTCAACCAAGTCCTCCGAAGAGTGCAACCCACCAGCCGACGGGTACACAAGGTGAGAGAAGGTCTATACGCGGCATGGGGCACCACCTCCGATAGTTGGCAGTCCGGCACAGTGAGTGGTTTGGGGTCTCATAACGTAGTTTTGAGAACCCATTTTACTACACTACTGACTACTTTCTATGATAGTGCGTTGAGCATAGTTGCGTGATGCCCCCAAATCGATCAAAATGATTTCGTGGCATATCAAATTGCTTGACCGTCCCTTTGACAGCCAGTACTTCTGGCTTGCTCTTTCTTTCCATATTATAGAGTTCTGTTCTTTCGGGTTGATCCCGGTTTACTTCTCCTCCTAGAGGTTCAACAGAGCTCAGTACGGCGTCCCGCGTTTACTAGGCTTTGCTTTTCCTCGCGGTATATCAGATGGTTTATTCACGGGGTGTCGGCCTTTCGAAGCCATATATGTCTTTCTTGCAGACCATTTTGCAATTAGATAGCCTGTGCTCTTGCAGATATAACATCTGCGCACACTTTGCTGCTCCGCAGCATGAAGTTCTGCTTCTTTTTCTTTCACTTGTCCACAGTCCATGGAAGCAGACACATCAGACAAGTAGTTATAAGTGGCAGACCTAGCGGCCTTAGAGTTGGTCTCAGCAATCCATGCCACTCCGACAGCTTCCTCGAATGAGGACGGGTTTACCCGGAAAACTTCCGTTCTGGCAATGCCAACTCGGAGGCCCTCCATGAAGATTGTGCCGGTCACTGCCTCCGGTATAGGGTCTATGACCATGGCAGCAATGAGAGTTCTCAACTCTTGCACATATGCTTCAAGCTCACGCTTGCCTTGGCGGCACGCCAAAAAACGCGACCGATTACGGTGTGCCTGGTTTGGCGGTGCATACTGCCAAGTCATCTGAACTTTCAGATCGGCCCATGTGGGAATGCATCTTGCAATGACGCACCTCATGGGAATGCCCACTGTTTGGTTAAGCCACTTAACTTGCCCGTGACAAAGGCCACACGGTATGATGTCGGCTATAAACATAGCCGACTCAACCTGTCGGAACCACAGCATAAGGTTAGTACCTTCTTTGCCGTCTAGTTTATTGACCGACTTCCATCTATATGGGTTTGGTCTGCGTACCACTTTCTGCGACATAGTCGCCATAGGCACGACGCAGATGAAGGTATTTGAGTCTTTACATGCTCGAATAAAGCTTTTTGTATTCATTTAGCATATGAATACGCGTATTGACCTCTTCCTTGCCTTGTGCGATGAGGTACTCCACGGCCTTAGGCCAAGGGAAGGGAACAACTCTTGACATTGTGGTGGAGTGGATTCTTAAATCTGCGTAATGAGACCCCAAACCACTCACTGTGCCGGACTGCCAACTATCGGAGGTGGTGCTCCATACCGCGTATAGACCTTCTCTCACCTTGTGTACCCGTCGGCTGGTGGGTTGCACTCTTCGGAGGACTTGGTTGAGATGTGATGTCGGCCTTGAGAAAGGTCGACCTTGGGGTGCCTCGAGTGGGTATACTTCACTCGTAGGCGGGTAGGTGGCCACTCGGTCGACTAGGTCGAGGGCGGACTTATAACCAAATTCTTCAGGGGAGATTCTCAACCCTGGCCTTTTCCTTCCTTTTCCTTGATATCTCAGGAGTGTTAACCGCCTGACCTTTACTTGCTCCCGGACCACTAGGATAGGGAGACCGCTTCCGATAGCGGGTTAATTTGGGGGGTGCTACTCAGACGAACCCACAGGCGAAATATATCCTGGGGATCTATTCACACTTGGGTCTTACCACACAATTGTCTTCTACGGGGGGCCAAAACATATCCCTTCCCGGAACAGGTGGGTAGACTTAGTCAAGTTACTTGAGAGCACGACGGAGGCGTGCTATGTAAATTGCAAATTGAGTAGTATTTAGTGTAGTCCTATCTTTTAACTTCTTTACTCTATCCTTACCCCCGAGACCTGATTCTTGATTCTGCTTGGCGAGGGGCCGTGGGGCCGGGTGACTGAGGGGCCAAGGGGCCGAGGGTCCACCGACCGAGGGATTAGGGTCTACCACGAAAGACCATGGTCTATCAACGAGAGACCAGGGTCAACCTCGAAAGACCAAGGTCTACCAACGAGGGACCAGAGTCAACATCGAAACGACAGGGGTTCACCTCGGTCCATCGGCCTAACCGCGTTTAACTTCTCTGAATGTACAATCTCCTCATCCAACGGTCGTTCCCCATCCCTTTTAAGCGCCCCGTATCTCTGTCCCTTACCCAACGGTCGTCCCGCCTTGGCAAGTCCCTTTCTCTTTGACACACTGGCCCTCTGACCTCCCAGTTCTTGAATCGCTTCACCACACAATCCTTCCTGTTGAGCCTGTGAAAGGTCAACCGTGGAAATCTCTTCGATGTCCATTCTCACACAGTGAATTAGTTGCAAATCCAGGTGCGGGATCGGCGACTAGTGCTACCAGGTAGCTTGCCTTTTGGTTGGAACAACCACGTCTCGAAAAGACCAGTATCAAAGATATAGCTTCTTTTACACAAGGACTAATGCTCTAGCACGTATGCAGGTTTCAAAACTGATTTATTAGTGTTTATTTTCTAGCGCTAATATAGAAGTACCTACTCTATACTTAGTGCTAGTCACCACTTATCTAGTTCTGTAGCCTATTAATATGTAACCACATGTATAGTTACTATACTTAAACTAAGTATAATGACCACGTGTCTCTCTGCCACGATGCGACCTTAAATACGGCTCAAATCAAAGATGGTGTAAGCCCCATGTACCCAAATTACAGCCACTCCACAGGTGTAGCAGTGTCTATGTATAGTAACGCCTTCATGTAATCCCATTATAGCGATTGTGGGGACGGCTACATCAGCATACTGGCGTGCCGCTGTCTTATTGGAGTGTTAACGTCAGCAGAATAGGCGGCATCGCAATACTTCCGAGCCATGTCGTCGCAGGTCCTGCACAGCCCTGGTGACAGCAGGGGTGGACAAACCGTATAATGGCGTTTGTGTTGGGAGACTTTCAGGTAGTCAATGAGTACGCGCCGAATGACCTCACGGACCGCGAGAATCTTTGCAAAATGTCATGGATTTCCAACCCCACCATTTCGCGGCGATCAATTATAGGAGGGTTCTAAAGCGTCAGTCATGCATAACAAACAGTATATTGCAAGATACTTCTATTTTTAGTATGTCAAGAGTTGTAATCATCTGCTTTATTTGATGAAAATTAGCCACAAACATTGAATTTTTGGCTTCATGAAATGGTATTATAGGGCTAGCAACTTTATATCTTTGCCATTTTTCCTCTGCATGGATTGAGAAACTCGCTCTTCTAGCGCTTGACTAACGATTGACCAACCGAAAAGACACAATGCCATAAAAATGGTCCTAATGACTACGTACCTGGTTGAAAAAACCAATGAATTGTAAAATTGCCATTCTTCGCCTACTCGATGTAAGAGCAATTCTATGTTCTACAACACCATATTCATGGCAGGACCGGTCTTTTGAACCGCTATCTTCGAAGGGATAGGGGACCTTTTCACTTGCAGTCCAAATACTTGATTCGATTGTCGTATGGCTAGAGCCTCCTACCCATTCATTTGACGTGCCCATTCCCCCACTCTGTACTCAATTTCATCCTCGGAAACTCTCTCAACATGGCGGAAGTTGCAACTGAAGTAAAACTTTTTAACAAATGGTAAGTAAACAATAGGAGACAAAACGTATAAGGTACATTATACGTCATTGGGTTGATGTTTGGCTACTTGACGAGTGCTCTAGACCTCGTCAAGAGCTCGATCTATGCCGAAGCAATGATAGTATTCCACGATTAAATTGTACCGATGGTTTAAAAGCTAATTGTGTAATGTTGCAACAGGTCGTACGATGATATCAGCGTCGCGGCAGACATTTCTCTGGAAGATTATATTGCTGTAAAGGGCAAAGCTGCCACGTTCCTGCCACATACGGCTCAGCGTTACCAGAAGAAGCGCTTTCGCAAGGCGCAGTGCCCCATCACGGAGCGTCTGGTGAATGCGTTAATGCGCAGAGGCCGCAACTCGGGCAAAAAGCTCAAGGCTACGCGCATTGTCAAGCACACGCTGGAGATTATTCACTTGCTGACGGACAAGAACCCGCTGCAGGTGGTGGTTGAGGCTGTGATCAAGTCGGGCCCACGTGAGGACTCTACTCGCGTTGGCTCGGCCGGTGTGGTACGTCGTCAGGGTGTGGATGTGTCGCCGTTCCGTCGTGTCAACCAGGCGCTGTACCTCATTGCCACGGGTGCTCGTGAGGCGTCGTTTCGCAATGTCAAGACCATTGCTGAGTGCCTGGCTGACGAGCTAATTAACGCGTCCAAGGGTTCGTCCAACAGTTATGCTATTAAGAAGAAGGACGAGATTGAGCGTGTGGCGAAGGCCAACCGATAAGTGGTGCGTGTGTGTACTTTGGGCGAGGGGTGCCGGAGGTCTTGTGCCTTTAGCATAGCAAAGGCACAAGACGGACATTCAGCTATGGATTGCACGTGTAGCAGTGAATGGAATGAACAGAAAGTGACAGAAAGCAATGATTTTGCTGTTGACGCACTTTTTGGTCCTTTTAGCAGCTTCTGCACGTTGGTTTATAGCAGGTTTGACGTTCGTCTTGAGTTTCTGTAACTTTGCCGCCTTCGACAATGAGAACATGGCAAACCAACTAAGGAACTGACATCGTTTATTCTGCTTTATTGCCTGGAATAAAATGTGATACACCGAGTTGTTGAGAGCACGAACCCCAGCATCTTATTCTTTTGTTCTGCAAGTGCTTCACGTTGTGTTGTTATTTGTTTAAGGCTGTTGTTTGTAGGCTTGCTTCATTCACGTAGTCCAGGCCGTCATCAATGGTGATATCGTTCTTGCCGACGGAAACTGTTGGATGATGGCCTTGAGACAGCTTGCGTGCGCGCACTGACATTTATTGCCGTAGGTAACAAATGAGCTTGATGCGCTACGCGTGCGAAATCACAGTCGTTTCCATGTGGTGAGGAGACATGACGATGCGAGCTGCCGAGCCATTTCCTGTCTCCACGTCGCCAACCTTATATTCAGTTGCTTCTCCGCGTTAGCAAGATCTACTTCAACTTGCAGTCTTAGATGACCGGCTTTGTTTGGCTTCCATTGATCGCAATCCTAGGCCGCTGCCGCTAAGCTTGGTCCATTCACTCGTCGTGACGAGAGCAATCGTAATGGAAGCTTTTGCCTGCTGCCTTTGCACTGCATCCTCATTTGTGTATGAAGTAGAAGCTTTGAACGGCACTAAAGCATTGAGCGAACTTTAGCTCAAATAAAGAGAGTTGCGCGAGCAGCATGCTACCTTTTATCTGTCATGAATTTTCGCCATCACAAGCTACTTCTGTTATCAAGACACAGCTTGGCCTTACGACAAAGAAAGGGCCACTCAGCTCCGACATCGCCAGTTGAGCAACTATCATCCCTCCACATCGCTTCAGGCCCATTCGCAGGCTGTACAGAGCACTGAGCTGTGGTATAAAGCCCATCTGATCTTCTACGCTACCTGCGACGTTGCTTGCAGGGCGTTTCTCATGGCTCGCAGATCTGTGCGTGTGCGGCACAATCCAAAACCGGATGACCAAGGAATACAAAATCCGTGTTATTGGGCTAGCGTTTATGCTCCGTCTTGTTTGTAACCGACTTGATCACGTTTAATGGTTCCGTGTCGAGAGATATGTATCACTATCACTTTGTCAGCGGCACTGAGCATCGCCATGGGCGACATGATCCTTTTTGCAGTAAATTGCCGTCTAATTGGTGAAACTTTGAACAAGATTTTGCATGCAGAACAACTGTTAGCAGTAAATGGCAGTAGCTATACAATTGCCTGAACAGAAGCTAAAGCACTCGACTTTACAAAGTCGCTCAAGGCCGTGCTGCTGGATCTAACACACTGATCATGGCTGCACATTACGCCATGTGCTCTAGCTATAGATGCAGTTGACATTATGTTTCTACAACGTTCAAGAACGTCAAAGATTGCGCGGAAAGTGAGTTGTGCTCGTTGCTGTCAAAGACACGGACGTCAACGGTAGCTTCGTCGTTCGGCCACATGAATTTGTTTGCGTGTGTATTGTCGTTCGCTCTCATTTTCTCATGAATTTGTCTGTACGTAGCATCGTGGTTCATCCTCATGAATTAGCTTGCGCGGTGTCGTCAGTACTGTCAGTTTGCGCTAATGACACTTACCTGCTTTTTTACTTGAAAGCCATTGCTACCCAAACTTTTGGTGGATCAATATACTGTATCTGGCCGCAGTTGACCGAGACAGTCAATGGCTTCGTTCATACAGGCACCAACACAGATGGCGTTCTATTCGGCTTTTGCATCAACAGCTCGTACGTAACACACGGAACAGTTTTCACCGTGCTATTATGACGTTATCGCATCGTCACGACTATAGCAACGCAGCACCCAATATCACTGATCATTCCCAACATGATCTAAGTGACATACAGCATCTAAAAGCCAACAAAGCCTTTTGAGACAAACACAGAAACGATAACGCACTAGGTAGTATGTACGACAGATATCCTTCCCGTGATCATTGCATTGTTCATGGGCGTAAAAGTGTCTAGTAAAATGTATACGATCAAAACACATCGAAGTTACGAAGGACTGTGTGTTCATGTCAACCATTCGTGCGAATGATTTTTCGGCCCAGCTGGCACCCACGCTTCAACTTGCCATCGACTTGATAACGTCTTTTGATAACGTCCAAAAAATGGCGCAATTTTAAGTTTTGGGTTTCGCAGCGACACCGGACAATTCGTGCTGAACCATTGGACATCAATTTTTTGCTTGGCCTGACAAATTTGGCAAATTTGGTGCAGGTCGCTAAAATCATTAGATATAAACAGGTAATCTGCGACGTGTTTACGTCACCACCATGATTCTTCGTCCCATGGTAACAGTCGTTTGGACAAATGGCATAACCAAACGTACTCTTGGCGCATAATCCAGAACCATCTTGACCCATGAATTCTGTAGAAAAACTTTTGAACTGGCAAGTGACGAGGCAGAGTCGGCGGCCAGTAGTAACCTTTGACTTTTTTTTGTCTTGCTCTTTCTGACAATCTGAGAATCGTTATGTTTACACCTATTTTTTACCATGCATACTTTCTCAACGGTCAATTTCAATTGTTCCAAGTCACACGATTTCATTCTGTCAATTACTTTGCAGTGCTCACATCAAACAGATTCTAGATACGAGTCTATCATCATTGTCCAACATGAGTCCTCGTCACAATTTGAATTCATTATCACAGTCATCGCAATGTCTATCCCTTGGTTTGCTTCACGAGACACCACGAGTCGAAGAATTTAGTGATTCATTAACAACCCCTGCACAAACACCACAAAGCACATATGTCCGTATTGATGAACCAGAAGTGGTAATGGCCAAGAAGTATGATCTACCAGTTGATCATCAACAGTTTGATAGGGCAACGAAGATTAAGTTAACAAGCATGTTACGACCTCACATGCGTATCTTCTATTTGTCATGGACATCAAGCATCATGGGCTTCTTTGGTTGGTATGCCATTCCACCTCTTATGCCTGTGATCAAGACACAGCTAGGACTTACAGAAGGAGAGGTTCTTAATTCCGATATTGCTAGCACGGCCAGCACCATTATCTCTCGTATTGCTGCAGGCCCACTACTTGATCGATTTGGTCCACAAGCAGTGCAGAGTGCAGTACTCTGGTTTGGTGCGATTCCGGTTGTCTGTGCTGCCTTCGTGAACTCATCGACGAGCTTACTCATCGTCCGCTTTTTTATTGGTCTCGTGGGCTGTGTCTTTGTGTCCAGTCAATACTGGACTACCATCACCTTTGCTCGCAATGTAACTGGTACAGCTAACGCAATTACTGGTGGATTGGGCGTCTCGGGTATTGGCTTTGCTTTCCTAGTGCTACCTTTCGTGTACGAGGCTATCACTTCCAGCGATTATGTGTCGGAGAATCTGGGCTGGCGAATTACCATTTCTTTGCCAGCGGTGCTGATGATTATCATGGGCACTGTGATTCGCTTTGCTGTGGACAGTTGCCCTACAGGTGACTTCCAGGAGCTTATGAACACCAAGCGAAAAGCTGAGCAAAATGGTAGAGCAGCTCCTGTTCGGATAAGTCTCAGCTCAAGTAATTTTCAGCACCATGCAGGTGAACAGCCGAAGACTGTGAGCATGCTTGAATCTTTCAAAGTCGTGCTGACGGACTTGAATGTCCTGGTTATGATTGCGCAATACGCAGCTTCTTTTGGAACGGAGCTGCAGCTGAACAACATGGGCGCTCTCTACTTTTACACACAGTTCACGAAGGACGGCTGCCTGTCAACTGATAGCAATCTCTGTTACTTGCTGTCTAAGACCAGCGCTGCAACTGTAGCTTCGTCGTTTGGACTCATGAACATATTTGCTCGCGCTCTGGGTGGTTTGGCATCAGACGCAGTGAGCCGCCGATTGGGTATGCGAGGCCGCCAGTGCGTACAGTTTACTCTCTTGTGCGTATTGGGTGTGTTGGTGATCACATTGAGTCAACTGGAGTCGATTGGTGCTTGTGTTGCGTTCTACGTCCTCATCGCTATCGCTGCGCAGGCCACTGGAGGATCAACCTACGGCATTGTCCCGTATCTGAACGAACAGCACACGGGCACTGTCAATGGTTTGGTCGGTGCTGGTGGCAACTTGGGCGGCGTGATCTACGGTGTAATTTTCCGCAGCACTGAAGGTTACAGCTCTGGTCTACTGTACACAGGTATCATCATTTTAGCCTGTGCGCTTCTCACTCCGTTGCTGCGTTTGCAGCACTTGGAGAAAAACCAAGAAACAAGCACATCCACCAGGAACACATACATGAAATCGCACAGCACAGAGTACCTTGGAGAGAAACCGTGCGAGTAAATGAAATATAGCAAGTATGGCTTTTGCTCGTTTTTTTGCAGTTTGAAGCTGAAATTGACAATCTGGTACACGTAGGAAATTAGTAGCATTGTATCGCACCTCTTAACATGAAGTGTGTCTATTGGAAGATCTAATTTGTGTTTGATTGAGACTATTTGCGCTTAGTGATATCTTAAAAAAATACCTGGAAAAGCTGTCAATGATCGGCGCTAGTTGATAATGAAATTCGACCAGCAAGACTGAAAGTCATTAGCAATAACAAATGTAATCACGTATGTTGATGCATCGACTCACGAAAAAATGCGTAGAAAGCAACATGAATCGCAAGATCGCCGACTTAAGCCAAACTACCTCGCAAATGAATATTGAATGGACTAGCAAAAAGACTCAACACGAAATGGAAGACTATAACGCAGGAGTTATTGGTATATCTCAGCGAAATTGTTGTTGTGATAGGTCCTTATCGATTAGGCTTTCAAGACAACGATCAAGCCGTCGTGTTGGAAACACATCGTGCATGCAGTCAATGGAAGAAGAAAAAAACACAGTCAAGCGGTATAAACGCAGTTGCTTCTTGTGCTACGAACAATCAAGAGTGACAAAGGCAAGCAAGAGATACTAAGAGCAACACGAGTAAATTGGCAGGCGTAAAGGACGTAGTTTGATAAGGCGTTAGCAATAGCTGACGCCATAACTGAAGATATCGATCGTTGAGCACTGCACAAAAATTGTCGAAAACTTAATCTGACTGGTCTCAGAGCGGTCGGATGCTTTTGGCTACTCTAAGCCGTAGGCTATTTTTGCATTTTTGCTGCTGATACTGAAGGCGTCGCCACTTTAGGTGTTGGTTGGTCTCGTGCGTTGGCCCCATTCTTGTTAAAACAAAAAAGCCGCACAACGTCTAGCAATTTCTTTTGTATGTTATGTCTAATGGAATTCACGAGCATTTATATATATACTTATACACGGACAGATCGCAAAGTACATTACAGCATCCGAGCAAAATCGACACCCATGGACTTACTCTCATCAACGACATAATCATTGAATACAAAGACATCCATGTATGCGTAACTATTTGCGATCGTGTCACACTGTTCGATGCAGTGTAGAACCCACAACATTGTTCGTTATAAAAATTCTGGTTCCACGTAACCGCAGGCAAGTAAGTTTGTACTTTATCAATTACATCTTACACCAAAAAGCCTGCCAGGACAATTTCTATACTGGGGTGCCAAGAGAAGGTGTGAGCATTGTCTGCTGCAGCATTACAAGTTCGACAAAAGAAACGCTTCACAGTTGCAAACTCAGTCCCGAATGCAAAAATAAATCGCTGTCACTACACGCGATTACACTGCCTTTTCATACGACTGATACCTTTTTTTCACAAGAGCGTTACAGGTATGAGCTTTAGCTCAAGTGGGTGACGTCACGCACAGCCCCACACAGTTTTTGAATGGCAAGAATCCATTTGCGTATCATGGGTGCTAAGTAAGAGATACTGCGTCTTTCTGGTCGACCAGTCCAGCACATATCAAGCAGGTACTCACTTTTCAACTTCCTATCTTCGAATACTACCTTTCGAAACTCAACATTTTCTTACAAACCATGCGCGTTCACGCTTTTCCTATTGTTGCGGCCGCTAATGTGGCTCTTGCTTTTGCTGACACGAGCACCAATGCTCTTGAAACAGCGCAGAACTCTTCGGTTGCTAGCTCCAGAAATGACTCGGTTTCTTTGTCACTTCCAACTGTTGAGCTTAACTACACCACGGTCCAGGCCGTCGGTGGAAACACTACCGTCGGATATTACAAGTATCAGAACATCCGGTTTGCCAAGGTGCCAACAGGCAATCTTCGTTTTGCTGCACCCGAATGGCCTGACGTTGAGACGGAGACCAATACCGGCACGAACCTTGCTGACCCCGATGTTAACTGCTCATCCGACGAGGACTGTTTGTATCTCGATGTATGGGCCCCTGCTGACGCCACTGAACGCAACCTGCCGGTAGTTGTATGGACGTATGGTGGTGATTTTACGGGCGGCTCCAAGTCTCAGGACACGCCTGAGGGTCTTTTCGATCTTTCCACCGACTTTGTCTTTGTTGCGTATAACTACCGTCTCGGTATCACCGGACTGGCCTCAGGTCCCACTTACCAGCACGAAGGTGGCGATGCCAATCTGTGCGTGTGGGACTCGATGCACGCGTTCGAGTGGGTGCAAAGGTACATCAGCAACTTTGGCGGCAACCCGCACAACGTAACGGCCGTGGGGTTCTCTGCGGGTGGCTTGCAGGTCCTGTTCCAGATGACCCGTTTCGGTGGCAACGTCCCTCAGCTTTTCCAGAAGGCATATTTAATGTCGTCAGACTACATTCCGGGCGCAGATCACGACCACGTTGAACAATTCTGGCAGAATGTGTCGTCCGCGGTTGGATGCGAAGGGGGTCACCTCGACTGTATGCGTGAGGTAGACTTCACCAATCTTACCGATGCAACGAACAATGTTGTCAATGAGTATACTTATGTATGGCAGCCTCGCGCGGACGGCTTCATCATCACGGACACTTACGAGGCTAACCTGTACCAGGGTCAATTCAATTTCTCAGGTCCGTGTGTGATCACGCACGAGCAACACGAGGCAAACTCTTCGGCGTACGACGGCATCAAGAACCATGAGGACATCGCAACATATCTGCGTATTTCCTTTCCCGGTGTCACGGATGACGTGATTGAGAAGCTGCTGGAAATGTATCCGGAGGACAACTACGAAAGCGCTGGTCTTCGCTTTTTTGACATGAAGCAGTTGTTTGACTCAACGGGCAACAATCTGGCTTTGACATATGCTTTGAATAATCAGACCTGGAACGCTGAGGTTGCACTCGGTACGGCCACGCACGGCACTGACCAGAAATACTACTGGTACAGCACGTACAAACTCTCAACCTTATTGGATAGCACCACCACGACCACAACGGGTTCAGGCTCCTCTAATACCTCGACAATCTTTGTTCGTGATGCCAACGAAACGGCAGTAACGGACACCAATTCCTCTGGCAATGCAAGGATCACGGGCGATAGCTCGTCGGTAAACGCAACGATTGCAATTATGATGCAGAAGTATCTCCTTTCTTTCGTGCTTACTGGGAATCCCAATGCCATGTGGGCGGAAGACAAGATCTATTGGCCGCTATACAACGAGTCGGCTTTAGGCGCTCAAATCGTGTTCAACGATACGTTCACGGTTGAGAACGATGATGATCGGACCAATTCAACGCACTTATTTTAAAAGCAAGGAGCGCTAATGATACTAGTTTTCATACAAAGCAATTTGTGCGCTGAACCCAGATTCAATGAGAATCTACTAGCAAAGCTGAGCACATACTGAGTGCAATAATGCACAACATATATTCTACCAAGCGCTTCGTTTTGTTGCTGTCACTTATGCAGCTTCTAGCTTCTTCTAATGTGACTCGATATTACATTTTCAACTTCAACATGAAATTGCGTGTCTGACGTAATGCGTTAGATACAAAGTAACAACGTATAGCCACGTCAGCATCGTCACGTCAAGCTGTTTCGAAAACTACCCGTCGTTGTCGTACTTAGTACAAAACGAGTCACGTAGAGGTCATTTCGTATCGTGCCGTGCATTGTTCAGGTCTTACTTTGATCATTGTCCTTTTTCCTCACATCTACCTTCTGTCTTCATCATTCAACTACTTTGATCTTGTAGAGCAAACACTAACGTATCCATCAAGCCTATTTTTGTCCTTCACCGCTTAGTACTTGCTGCAAAAAAGCCTATGAATGCAAAAGCCTCTTTTTCCTTTGATGCTTTTATGAAGCTCGCGTTTTGTCTGGAAGGTCGAGACAAATTATCAAAGGTATGTAAGTGATTATCGTTATCATTAGTCGATCATATGAGATCTCTAATGTATCATGATATGTAATGTCAAGATATTGCAATATGGCAGTCGAGGACTGGCATTTTATATCCTCTCGGCTGACCCAAAGAGTGATGTTGGACAACGACTTCATGCTCTCTATAAGATCATGCAACAGTCTAGGAAGGCTTTTCGATTAGGAAAAAGTCTGGTGTACTATAAGAAGCTACAAATGCTGTCCAATAATAAGAATCTGACCGAGGGACAGCGATATCTGCACTTTGTCCAGAACGTGGCTATGCTGGGCTATTTTATCACGGACAATATAGCGTTTGCCACCAAGGCCAAGGTCTTACGCTTTGATGCTGATAAACTAGTGTCTCGTGGTGGCATGATGTGGTTTTGTGCCAACCTAGCGGGTTTCTTCAATGCCATGGACAACCTGAATGCCGATGTGGAAAAAGAAAAGTGTGTTCGGACCATTTTGGCTTCGGAAGAGGATATTATGCGCGTGGAGACGTTACAACACCAGCTGGAAACATTGAGAAGTGATCGCTGCAAGAAGCTGCTTGCAGTGCTCAAGGTGACATGTGACCTCATCGTGTCATCCAACACGAGCGGAGTGAGGCTGTCGGAGCGAATTACTGGCACCAAGCTGCATGACGGTGTAATTGGTCTGGTCGGTTGCATGTCGGCAGCAGTCGTGCTGTACAACACGTGGCCTGACGCACCGAAAGAGACGGTGCGCAAGAACGATACCAAGGCACAGACAAAGACTGAAGCCAAGTCTGAAGCCAAAGATGAGACAAACTAATCTTGCAATGGATTGCGGTGGTCCTTAATCAAAGAAGCCACGACTTTGAGATGGTATGCCTTGCCGGCATTGGAATGCTTTGCTGATGTGTTTGTTCTCGTATCGCTACCTTTATTTGAGCACTCACGACTTCTCTTTGTCTTGCACAAGGTATGAGTTGGCATTAACGATGTTACATCGACAACGAGGTGCAAGCTTGACGTCTGCAGTCAAAGGACAGCAAACGTCAAGCGCTGCTTGCCTTACAACCATCATTTTCTGTGCCAAGAAGACTCGTTGGATTACTTGCCATGTCCATGTCATCATAAGCCACCGTGGTGCCGTCTGTCCTATCTAGAATCTCATCAAGTATTCTGATCCCCCATGTAAGTTCATTTTGACATGATCTTGATGCCACGACCGCCAAACTATTGCGGATCTTGCCGATATCCTGACTCGTGTGCACGACGCAGCAATATAACCAATGCCGTGCATGAGGCCATAGTTAGTGAGGTATCTGCCATCCTTTTTTGTCAGCTTCAGCAGCATCACCTTGCAGCCAGGTGGTTCAGGCAAGCTTGATGACTTCAAGCGGGTCCAAGCGCGAAGAAAACCTTGGCCTCGCATTGATGACGTGCTAGTTCCAGCAATGCCGCGGCCTGCCAAAAAACTACGCTGTGCGTCACTGTGAGTTTCTTTCTGCTATAAACACCTTGTTGCTTTCTGCATAACTTTCAATCGGTTGCACAAATTTATGCTTCCAAGCTGCGGCCGCTCATATCACCGAAAGTGTTTGACGGTCGGTTTGATTCTGCCTTTTTTCGCTAATATGATCGAAGAAGCTCTGCAAAAGCACAAGAAACGTCAAGTCAGTCGGCCGTGGAACTTGTCGATCACTTACGTCAGCAGAAACCATTTGAGAAGGCCAAACACGTTTGTAATATAGCGAGAAAACACAAAGATTCGATCGTTGCGATGGAATCATGTCGAGCTCATTATGTATTTAGAAATCGATGACGGACGTACAGCGAGTAAAATGACACGCATGAATTCAAGTATAAAAGCATCGAGTCAGAACCTCAACTTGATGCCAAGATATCGATCGATAAACGTCAAACACTCCCACTTCTGCTTTGAATACAGTCACTTAGATAGTAGATGTACCAGCGTAATCCTCCTTCACACTCACTCCAATGCGGTTTCCACGTTGGAATTCGGAACTACAAACAAGCAAAAAAACTCACACTCTACGAACGCTCGGTACCCTCGACAAACACACACACAAACGCACCCCAATCGACAGCACTTTTGCATCCTCTTTCAATTGGTTCTTCAATCTTTCTGCAATGTTTGTTAGCGACTTGGCGAACGCGTATACAATAACCAGCTTTGCGTTTGAGATATCCATGAGCATCACGTCTCCCAGCACCACCTGAATCTGGGCTTGCAAATTTTCCATCTGCACTTGTTCCTGCGCTTTTTTGACCAACTTATCATTCAATTCTACACCCATTGCATTGCAACCGAATCGCTTGACTGCTGAAATTAACCAACGTCCGTCTCCACAGCCCAAATCCATCAAAAGATCATCCGACGATAATGCAGCTTGAGCAGCCTCAAGCTTTGTCCACACGGCGTCAATCACCGCAATTGGCGATGGACTAAATGGTGCAAGCAATTCTTGATTACACACATTATCCTTTAACGTCAAGACCTCATTGGCTCGAGTCTTAGCAGCTTCAAGTACAAGTTGACGCACTCGTCGACGTTTATTCGGTGATGTAGCCATGTCTAGTGTTGGGAAGATGAGGCAGTAGTCAGCAGCGTTGGTCAGCATAAATCCAGTTTACAGTCTTCTGATTCGCTGAAAAATCAAATACTAGCTATTGATTGGTCGAGACTGTTGAGTGGTGAAGGTTGAAAAGTAGGAAATCGTTCTCAAGAGCTACGATAAGTATGAAGGATAGAATGCCTGCTGTGCGGCTCAACGGCAACGACAGTGACAGTGATGAAGCGCCTGAATTTGTGACCAATCATATTGCTACCGAGAATGCTCGAATGCAACGTCGTCAGGAGGACGAAGCGTATGCTCAGGCCAAGGCGACCAAGAGGTGCGTTTGATGGGTTTTCAGGGCGATGCAAGTATCATAATGATCTAACGCGATGGACCAATTGATGGTGACATGTGCAAATGAAACAGGAAGAGGAAATTGAAGCAGTTGACAGAGACACCGGAATTGCCGGATGACGTATTGGTAGCTGTTGCTGCACGGAAAGAACAAGAAGAAGCTGCAGAAGAACAAGAGACAGCAATGCAATTGCGTATCAAGAAAAGACGTGCACTGAAAGAAGTGAAAGTAGCCCATTTAATGGAGAAAAAGATACACACGAGACAATTTGGCAACATTCAAGTGCAGACACTTGAGGCATTGGAGAAGATGCAGACTAGGACATTACCAGCTAGTGCCAAAGAATTTTTGAATCTTCGGACGGCACCTAGTCGGGCGAGAATGAATGTTATGGAAGGACACCCATCTCAGTTTACGAAGAAGCAAAAGCACCGTAAGGGATAATGACACTTGTAACCTGATACTTTCTAATGAATAAGGAGATGTATTGGAGCGCGTGTGTTCGATGAATTTAACATAAAGAAATTTGCATGCATTAGTATTCGAGTGATAAGCAGCCATACCCGCCCATCGAATTTCGAATTGAAATACGGTTTACTGTGCTTCCTAACATCTTTTTGACAAAATACCGGTATCACTTGTATTTTTTGTAAAAAGCGCTTTTTTGAACACCATGAACTTAAGTAAAAAGTGAAGAACATTCCTGGAACGTTTGCGAAACGAACCTTGACTTTATGAAAAAAAACGCGTCTTTTATCGATAAAACTTCGTATATTAGCACAAAATATAGGGGACGCAATGGTGTCGTATTGAGTACAAAAAGTTTATACGTATGCGAAAAGCAAACGTGTGGTAACACCTTGTAATTCGCCTTATGCACGCATGTTAAATACAGTTTTAGTCCAGCCATCCTGGTTTGGCACGAGCTCCAGCACCGAGTGAAACGGAATTTCCAGATCTGGGCAGCTTTCAATGGGCACGCCTAAAAAGTACGAGTAAAGCACTTGTAATGTGGAAATGTGAGACACCACAAGCACTGGCCCTGTATGCTGTTCAATGTCGATGAGAAGTGGCTCCAGACGCAGCATCAAGTCCTGGTAAGACTCGCCACCCGGGAAACGGGTACGCCACGGGTCCTTTTCGTACGCAGCAAACGCTTCCGGCATTGCCTCCTTCATCTGATCCATTGTCATTCCATAGCACTCACCCTTATCCAGTGGATTCAAAGTTGCCATTTGCACTAAAATGAATCAACAAAAAGTGTAAATGAACATCATGTAGCAACATCATAAATAATCAACAAAAACATCCACGTACTTCGCTTGCCGCTCGGAAGAAAATCTGCAGTTTGTACAGCTCGTGGCAGCGTAGATGTCATGACGAGACATTCCGTCGAGCTATCTTCCGAAGTAATGCCTTCATTCTCCATCCACACCACCGTTCGCTGCTTCACAAACACGCCAAGACGGTACGCAAAGTCCACTCCAAGTGGACTCAAATGCGCAGACCGAGGCGCTACACATGGGTCTTTGATAATGTCACGAAAGTCCCGTTTCACTTCAGTACAGTGTCCAGCCCGCACGAGCCAAATCGGTCGATGTTCAATATGGAAACTCATCATGTATGGCAAAATGGACTTGGCCACATGTCCGTAAATGCCTTTGGCATGAACTTTGGACTGCATGTCGAACAATTTGATGTAGCTGCAGTCCTCTTCATCTTCCAGTGCTTCATAGGCAGCCTCATAGTTCTTCAGTCTCTGTTTCAAGTCTGCAAAAGCTTCTTCTTTGGGCATACTGCGATAATCTGGGCTGCTTTCGACCTTCTGCTTAATGTTCGCATTGATCACTGCGTCACTGGTGCATATGCTTTCAACAAAAACCACATGGACACTGGTCTTGTGCTGATCTGCAAAAGCATGAAACATGTCTCGCAGCATTTTCCTCCTCATCTTCGTCGTGTTCGTAGCATCAAACACTGCCACATCTCCTCCTCTCTCTCCGTCTTCTCCGATAAGCCAACGTTGGACCTGTTTTAAAGACTCGAAAGCAAGTCTTTCTCTTTCCTCTTTTGCTTGAGTATTGGTTGGATCAAAGAATGAATGGTCCTGTTTAGCTCCTGAGCTTGTAGCTCGACGTAATTGACCTACATTAAACACTTGGCACTTTAAGCCTTTCCAGCAAAAGAATTTCCACAACTTTTTTGCAATAAACGATTTGCCACGGGCTGGGAGTCCCACCATCACCAGCACCAACTTGTCTGCAGTGGGCGTAAAGCGTTGACGCTCAGAAAATATAGGCCGATTCAAACCACGAGACCCTCGACGGTCTAATGGAGGCGGAGATACTGTAAAAGTTACAGTTTTATAGTCCATGGAATCAGGCCCACCTGGAGAAGGTACTTGATCATCTTGAGAGCTTAATAACGCGACTTCTACAGCAAGTGGAGAGATCAAAGGAGACGGGATAGATGTAGGAGATGCAGGAGTAGATATAGATACTGACAGAGGTGGTGTGACGGCTATGGGAGAGCCTGAAAACCACTCGACACGAGCCATCTTTAGTTCAAGCGATTGTTCTTGTTGATTAATATAGAAAATGAAAAGAGTGAGGTAAAGGTTTTGATATGAAATAACTCTTGAACAAGTTGACGTATAGCTGAGGATTTGTACGAAAAAGAGAGATTCGGTATCATTCGATAAAGTAGTGGAAGGGCGGACCTGGCAAAAACGGTTTTTTACGTTAGGTAATAAGAGGTTAGGAGCATGCTTTTACGCGCATCACATTTATATCTTACGGTTTATCTTACGAACGTTTACGTAAACGCAACATAAGAGAAAAGAAAGTTGCAAGAAAGTCGCGAGAATAGCTCCTATTGAACTCTATTTCTCCTTTATCGGCTGTCAATGTGTGAATATTCGAAGATGCTTTCCCTTTTGACCATACGAACTCTAAGTCAACGTATTCAATGCTTTCATAGTGATAGTGCATGATTGTGCAAAGGTTGTCAAACGTTACACACTGATCATCGCGGTCAGGAATGAGAGCAGATCCAAGAGGTCACAGACTTACATTTCGAATGATGCGCACATTGAGAGTGGCAACTCTGCAACAAAAGACTCCTAGTGAGAAAGGGACATGCTGTGAGAATAATACTTTCTGCACATCTCTAGATACAAATACTTTCTGTACATTTCTTACGACGTCATCAACTTTGAGTGGTTCACGGCTTGTGTTGGACATTTGAGCTGAGGTAGTGTGTTTTTTTAGACCCCATTGTTAAGCTGTCATCAGTTTATACACACAACACTAGTAACAAAGAATGCAAATGTGAAGAAGCTCTAAGTACGTAATGACTCCATTTTCACGAGTACAATGAACAGCGCAACGCATTGACGTTGGAATGGCGTATCTCGCTCGAGCAGTTGTGTCCGTTTACTTTTTCAGTGCTAGGCACTCTGCAAAGTCAACAGAACAATCATAAGCAATGTATTGTAGAAGATTGTACTAGCTAAACTTGTGGCTCAGAGCCATCATGTTTTATTGCAAAACAGTATGGAACAATCATATGACGATGTCGACTCTATCTTAAATAGCGCTTTACATTATGATAACGCACGCAGCTGACGTTCAAAACCTGAATTTCTGCAGCGCCTATTTTAATTTTATTCTATAAGCCACTTTGCGATTGGTCAAAATAAAGTTTGAGAATAATATTGTTAAACTTTCATTCGCGTCGTCAAAAGCTCAAGCCAAGAAGAATGAAAGTAGCTGGTGTGATCTCACCGACGCTGTCAATCTGGTGGAAGATTGGCGCAATTGCAGGCGCCAGTGGCGTAATGCTTGGTCTGTATATATAAAGCATTAACTAGATTATAATTCTATGATGATGATACTCGATCTTATTGGTCCGACATAACTGACGCATCACGTTGTTGTCTGCGCCATGTGACAGGTGCTTTTGGAGCTCACGGCCTCAAGAACCGCGTGAAAGACCCACAAATGCTCAAGAACTGGGAGACAGCAGCTCAGTATCAGGTTTTTGCTTTACTTGGCTGCTGTTTCTTGTAATGATAACTCATGGTATTATGTTTGACAGCTAATCCACTCGTTGGTGCTATTGGCCACGCCAATGTGTCGACGACCGGCACTGGTGGGGGGGACTTGTATCAGTGGGCACGATGCTGTTTTCAGGGTCTCTTTATGCAATGACACTGACGGGAGAGAAAAAACTCGGCATGCTTACGGTAGGTGCTGACTAATTGTCTATGGGTGATGAGTAGATAATATAGACTGACAGGTGTTTTGGAGTAGCCTATTGGGGGGCGTTGCGATCGTGGTTGGATGGCTTGCACTAATGTTGTAGGCATTCGCGAATGATGGTACCAAGTTGATGACCAAATGAGCAAAGAAAGAAGCTTGGTGTCCGTATAGTGTTAGCTCCTCACTTTTGGTGACCCCGAAGCGAAACTCTATCTATCCGAGCAAACCTTTGCGGGTACAAAATCATCAAAAAACACAAGTGAGCCTTTGATGACGTTGGTATATTCACGAATGAAGGAACTTGCAGAAGTGGTCGTTGTCGTGGAACCTACCAGAATCTGCTTCATCGCCTTGTAAGTTAGCCAAAACAATGATACTGGTCACCTCTTTCGCCATCAGTTCAGGTAGCTTCTTGGTGATACACACATTGCTCTGGAAGTGTGGCCACCCATCTGCAATATCAAATTTAATACTCTTCGTCCGCCGCATCGCGAACTCCTCGCTCAGAAACTAAACAACCATCACTAATGTTCTCATCATTACTGTATGCAGCTATGTGAAGAACTATGTAACGGTATCAGCAGTAAGTCAGATGTACCTTCGAAAAGCGCTGAGTCATGTGCTAGAGCGGCTGACTTAACCAGGCGAGCTACGCGTGAATTCGCCTACGAGCTTAAGGTTAAGCAATTACTGTATATGCAAATACTAGAGCTTCGCAAGCACGCACCATCCATTCTAGAACAATTCGATTATCAATTGAGTGTGCCCAGCTTTCGCCTATACAAAAAAACAAATACAATGTAACACGTTACGGATTCGTTTGTGCAACTTCGCACACAGAAAGGCTAGCTTGCCCAGTGCTGGCCGCTGCTGTGATCCGACGTTCTCATCACGAGATGCTTTCGTAGTAATATGGTTAATCAGCACCACCTGAACAGATACGGTGGTTAGAACATGTGTGGGCACTTGACAAACCATGTTAACGATTGTACTGACAGCCAAATTGAAATCAGCTGCAAGTCCATGCAGAAAAGTAGCAACGTCATCCAATGCTCGTGTTCTTTTAGCATAGTCGTCGAAGCCATGACGAAAGTGGAAAGCAATAGTGTCTACCACTAGAAGTTTGCACTGCATTCCACGTGCAGCATTACACATGACCGACTGGATTCATAATGTAAAACTACATATTGATAGCCCACCTCGTTTGTTCGAAAACAGGCTGGTAACGAATGAAGCACTTCCATTTGCTCCACATAATCATGTGTACGATAATATGTGATCCCTCGCAATAAGTCGTCTCGTGTCTGCACCACAAGATACGAAAAGTTTCGACACAAAATCAAGTTACCGTGTCAACTACATGTAAGATTGACGGTGAAAGCACTTAAGCAGCCCACCAGCTTTTCCGGCCCCACTTGATAAAAATCCACGAGAAAATGTTCAGCCATCGATGCTACGCGTTCGATAATAAAACTTCCTTCACTATCTGAAACAGAAAAACCATTAGAAACAGTACTACGTCCAATACAACCTGATCGTGTGGGTACCAATAAAGACAGCAGATGGAGTCTTCCCAGTCTCCTCTGCCAAATACTGCACAGCCAAGCAAGCATGGATACTGCAAACAGCACACCAAACACTTAGCTCCAGTACCTACCAATAAAACAACCTCAACATTTGTTTACGACCCACCCAAGTTGCGTTTTCCCAGTCCCAGGGCCACCACCTTTCGTCATGGATGGCAAAAACAATCAACCTTGTTAGTAACAACAAAGCATACAAAATACATACACAATAACAAAGTAGACATACAAATTTCCGTGACTTCACCACGTTGCAAACCGCCACCCAGTAATCCATCCAGTCCAAGAAGTCTCATGGAAATTGGTTGGATCTTTGTCACGTCCTGCTTCCGTCCACAATTGTATCAGCTTTCCTTCCTTATATCTTGTACTTAGACAGTATTCAACACCTGTAATAGATCCAGTGCTGTGTCTCCCACGGCTGTTGAGTGTTCTTTATTCTGAGTGAATTCCAGTACTCTCACTGCATCTTTCACACTAATTTCCGCCTCTGTCGCAGCAAATATCTCCTAGCTTCAGCTCTAATGTGATCAGTACTATACCATAAGCACATATACATCCATTACCATTGGCTAATTCACGCGCTGAGACGTTTTCTAGATCTTTTTGATACCGAAAACCTGCACGAAAGAGTGCCGCTATGAATACATACCACGCAACGTACATGCAAGATTAGACATCCAAATGACCATCATCATATACTAGAAATACTAAACTACATCTTTGTTGATTTTGTACACTATCTTACCCAGAATTGACGGCGCGAGACCGCATGCGGCAAGAGATACATTCATACTGCCGTGTCGTGCCATTTGCTGTAATTAAAAAGACACATGCAAGGATAATTCGTGAGACCTCACTAATGCTTTTTCATTGGCTGTAATTAGTATGTTACACTTAAGTACGAATAAAATAACTACCATACAATACATATCCTCCATACAGTACAACTTCTTAATACAAAGCCTTACTACGATTTCAATCATGGCCCTCCGTCAAAGCTTCCAGGCTTTGCGTTTGATTGCACCTCGTCACATGATACGCTGCAATCTTAGCATTGCATCACATGCTGCTGATAAGTTTGTAATGGTGCGTAAATGTGCTATCAGTGAATGAGAAAGGATAGAATAAGACGATACCTGTTTATATAAAATGAATCTATTTATTCATTCTTACACTTACTCTTATTATATTCATTCTTACAATTATTATTTTATGAAAGTAGGAAATACCACAGGAACATGAAGGTCTAAATATTGAATTTAATTGGTCGCTCGCGGATGACGATGTGACGCCGCATGGTGATGCATTTCGCAATCTCACGTGGTCGAAACTTGAAAAACTTGTCAAGCACGAGAATTTATCAGGTTGTAGAAGAACCAATCCATCACTTGTAGTCGTAGGATTGTTACGAATGTGTTGCTCACAATTTATGTGTTTCTATGTCTGTTGTGATTCTCTTGGCGTGCTGCTATAGCAGGCAAAAAAGTGGTGATTCAGGAGGTCGATGTGAGCATTGTATTCAATGATTTTGAAGAATTCTACGAAAAGGTGACGGAACATTTGTCGACCGAGCCGAATCTATACACGCAGGATGGGGCTGTGGGATCATTTAAGGATGATCGCACACGTGTGCGTGTGATCTCGGACTCGCCGCTGGTGGCGCTGTTTGCGCAGACGTTGTTAGTCCGTGTGCCAATTAAAAACCCACATGCTGCTCGTCCCATTGTGGTATACGTAGCGACTGCCGGCGAGTTCAAGAACAAGGAACCGCAGGCGAAGCTACTGGTTGACAACGATGATGAAGGTGCTACTTTTGTCAAGGTCGTGATCACTGGAGCGGCTGATCTTGCGACTATCAAGGATGCTATTGGTTTGGCGAAGAAGAAGCTGCTCGAAGTCGCGGAGTCTGAGTCGCTGGTGGTCCCAGCTGACGTACTTGTCAAGGACAACAGGACTGCACTGGTGTTTAATGCCAGTGGTGCTGGACGTGCTGCGGCTATCGACAAGGGGCATCTTTACAGCGCTCATTTGAATATCTGGAACCCAAAGGGTGTGACATCGCTCTACGGAGGTGCGATTGTGGACAACACCACCACGATGTCGAAAAAGCAGGTGGTTACCGTGGAGGGTGGTTTGTCTGTTGGTGTGCCGTGCAACAACTTGGTGGAGCATCCGAAGGCTGCTGTTTTTGTAGATAAGGCTGGCAAGGGCGTGAAGTCAATTTCTTCTGCAGAAGCTGTCGCGATGCTAAAGAAGATGAACGCTGACTTTGACGTGGAAAAGTTTGAGGTGCTTCTCAAGAAGGCCAATACCAAGAGTTTTGTCGTGTCCAGCGACGCGGACGTTGAGGCTGCTTTGGCAAAGCTGTAAATAAGATTTGCTCGGCAAGGCGATGGTAAGTAGCAAAGCAACATTGATGCACTACAGATATATAGTGATGAAAGCTTTAAGAAAAAAGCAATTGAAGAGAAGAATGTAGCAGCAAAGCATAGGTGGGACTTTGTTGGTTGTTGCGTAGGCGACTGATGAAAATTCCAGTACAAAGACGTACTTTGCAACTTCTTGTTGGCTAGGTATACTTTTCATTTATTGACCTTTACATCGAAATGAACATCTTCTCTTTTACAGCGTTCTCGCAGCAGCAATGCCAAAAAGGAAATGACCACAAGCACAACTGTACACAATGTCGCAGCCATCGGCCGCAATATTTAATTTGAGCTGCGCGCCCACGTGAGAGGAAGGGTGGTCTTGTCTTTTTCTCTTCATCCGCGGACGCAGGCAAGTTTCCAACATTCGAGCCCAGAGCGCCGCATAGCAGCTCCGTAGCTTTCTTCCGTCCAGCATCCATCGTCTCGTCCATCAGACTAACTAGCACAACAACGTCATTAGACTAAATCCATACGCCGTCATCTTCTTCCACCTCCGCTGCTGCAGCACCAGCATCCATCTTGGATGCGTCAGCACGCATCACAGGGTTATGATCGTTGCTGTTGTGTTTGAAAGATGCCTCCTTCTTCATTCGTGCCGCGCCGTACGAGACCGAAAATTCGAGCGTAAGGAACCACGACATCTTCTCCTCAGCCGAGTCAAAACATAGCTTAATGGTGCGACCACGATTGAGCGAGCAGACAATGCCAAAGCGTTTGCCGTCCCACTCATTCACAGCACGGATCAGTCCCGACAGTGCAAGTTCTGCATCGTCATCTTCTGACTCGTAACAGCTAAAACTGTCGTGTTTAATCACAACAAAAAAGCGCGTCCAAACGTCGTCGTCCGTCAGACAATGGGCCCAACCTTCTTTACTAGTTCGGTTCTTAGTAGTGCGTGGTCGTTTGACAGCTGCTGATAGCACGGCCATCCAAGCTGCATAAGCTACTTGTGTATCAGCAATCAGTCGGACCTCCTTGCCACTCATCAAGTGTAGGGAGAGTCCATTCTTCTCAGTCGTAAGCGCCGTCACATCCACAAACTCAAGCACACCACGTGCACCACGACTCGTGTCTTCACTATCATAGTATGTAAGTACTTTACCATTAAGTGTAAAGTATCGACGTGCCCATGAACGTAGTGTTTCCTTCTGTTTTCGCATCCATCCTTGCATCTGAATGTCGTTCTCATCTGACATCGATGATGACTCAGACGATGAATTTCCACGCATCATGCTACGGAAGCTATTTCCAATTGGAGGCATTTTTAAAGGTTATGGAAGGCCACTTGTGAAGAAGAGCGAGATCGCTCAAAAATAAGACCAGAAGAGCTCAGGCGAGTGAAATCTCGCTGGCTTGACGGACGGACCGTGGGTTAGAACAAGCTTTTTGGAAGAGGGAGCAAAGTATCGAGTGACTTGGAAAGAGGGGTACAGTAAAGAACATATTCATTGTATAGTAGACTCAAGTGAGAACAAAACTCTTTACAAAGAGTAAGTTTCATGTTTATTGTGTCTTGCGGGTTAAGTAATAGAGTAAGTCACAAGATGAAACGGTTTTCTCTTGGAACACCAGAAAATACTGACGATTAAGTAAAGATAGAGTCCTTTAAGACTTACAAAATACTGAAAAAGCTCTTGCAGTCGTGATGACATTTTTAAGGCGCAATTTTTAGAACGTGATATAGAGCGTACATAATAAGAATTTAATGGTAGAATTTGCCACAATAATGATTGTGAAAATAGACACAAGTGCACTTCAAGTTGTTCAATAACCAAATTTTTGTAGAACAAAATCTGTTATAAAGTTGCTGCACCCGACTGGCTCGACACTGCCATTTAAACACATGCTTTTTATAAAATAAGGCGGTTAAGTAACTGTCAAGCAGTTTAGACAAACATCATTTGCTTCAGCTTAAGAATCGACTCTAATTTAAAGCAATTGGTAAACTACGGCGTCTTCTTCGCTCTCTTTGTCAACTCAATCGAATCTTCTGATGATTTGGGCTAACGTCAGGGTAATTTATCTAGATATCACGTCAATGTCGATTGCAGCTTAATCTTTTCTGATGTTTTACTTTACTCAGATCGCCAAAGATGTCTGGATTTAGTTACAATTGCGCTTATGCTTCTTTCCAATATATAGTGATAAACTGACTGTATTATAAACACTATCAGAGTTTGAAAAACAATACCGCCACACAACACTTAGAGAGCAATTTCATCAATCAGGTTTGTACAAAAAAAACAGAAACTTTTTCTTTGGTTTTTCTAGTTGTGTACAAGCAGATTAATCATATTTTTCATAAGCAGCCAATATCAAATCAGCCAGTATTTAGTTCACGGCATCAATACTGCTTTGAAGGGATAATCAATTTACCAAGACGATCTTAGTATATTGCGTGAATTTATCAGTATTAGTTTGTACAGGTATTATAAAAGACCGTGGGATGTCAATAGCGCGACACTCATCGTCGCGTCCCTGATCACGTCGCTTCTCATGTTTCTCCAAGGTTGTGCTTCTTCCAATGCTCATTAGTAAAATCTTGTTCCCGTTGATACTCACAATATGAAGATGGAAGTATTTGCCGAGTGTGAAGAGCAGAAGGAGCGTGTGAAGGCCTGCTACGGAGATTGGTTCCAGAAACTCTGGGGCGGCTCGTTCGACAAGGCGGACTGCGAGCAGGAAACACTGGACTTCCGTCAGTGTGTAGAGGATGCGATGAAGCGTCGTAAGGAGGAAGCAAAGAGCAAGTGGAACGACAATGACAATAGCTGGATGGACCGCGCGAAGGAACAGGCGGATGATTTTGCATCTGATGCTAAGTCTCAAGCGCGTCATGCAGGGAATCGCTCTCAAAATGAGAAGGAGAACGCCAAGAGCAAAGTAAAGGATACGGCATCGGATGCGAGAAGCAGAGCACAGGACACGGCGTCAAATGCAAAGAGCAAAATGCATGAGACGGCGTCAGACGTCCGAAGCAAGGCCCACGATAAAGCGTCGGATGCCAGGAGCAAAGTGCACGATACGGCATCAGATGCCAAGAAGAAGGTTGACGGCACCGTTTCAAACGTGGCATCCAAAGTGCAAGAGACAGCAGACTCGTGGGCGGACAAGATCAAGGGACTCGCAAAGTAGGCATGTTAACAAGCAGTAAGCTAGTCGCATTGCTGCTGCCCGGTTGTGGATAGGAAGTGCCACCTTCATGATCTTGTGTGCTGAGCTGTTATTGCTTCCTATATCAACAGGCTCGCTTTGTCGCAGTCATTTATAAGTTTCTAAATAAATTCTTTATACAACTTCGACATAATTGCAGTTGTTGATTAACTATTGTTGAAAGGGTGGAGCACAGCACTTTCCGTGTTTAAATTACGACGTATATACCCTTGATTATTTCTTTTACAAAGCTTGTGCAGAAATACAGCGATTACCATTATTTGTCGTGCAGTATAGTCCATATCTGTCGGATGATGCTCAGTTTCTCAGTAAAAAACATGAGCACCGATTTTAATGGAGTGACTGGATGTTAATGAACTTTTGAATCACGTATGCCTGCACTTGGACGACGCCATGTTCTCCAAACGAATGGTGAGCAGCATGGTTGCATCCCTCAATCCATCACCTTTGCAGCCAATTAAAAAATCATACGACGCCTGTCTAGACACAGCAGTATGACGCTAGCTGGTCCTTATCAGCGTTTTTCTTTGTTACCTGAACCCATAGCATATGGGTTCCTATTCCCTTCGTCTTTGCGTCAACATCAGAAAACCCCTACGCACGTCCAATTGCCTACAAACCACGAAACGTGATGAAATCCATCTGATTCAGTATCAGGTACCACTGTATCCACGGCGCTCAGATAATTCTGTTTATCATTCATTGTTCAGAGATAGTTGGTTAAAGATTCAGATGCGAAAAATTACGCTCTGTGATTACAGTAATCAGGCTTTACTGATCGTTCAGATGATGCAATAGACCCGACGCAGATCTGGACATTAAATCAAGAGCATCAATAGTGGTGCCTTTTCTAGATACTACAAAGCAGTAATCAAGGCGTTTTGGATGCCTACGTGTGAAAGCAAGTGAACATGTGATTGCATGGTAAGTAGCTGTACTTGAAGTAAAAGGACACGACCATATATACGCAGCGACGTAGGACAGAGGACCATAAGGCTAAGAATTAGAAGAATTGCTTGACTGTGTCGAGCTTCTTGCCCATCATTTTGGACAGAAATAAGCGTACGCCATCAGTTGGAGCAATAGTTGTAGAAACACAGACATCTTTGCAATCTTTTTTATGTAAAACTCAATACAATTTTTACCCTCAAGTTTTCATGGCTCTATATGATAGGTATCAAACATATGAAGTGATCTATGTATTGTGCTTAGTTCGTGAACTTACTACTCATTGCGTCCTACAAACAACGCTTGATTAGATCTCTGTCTTACTGGATTTTTGACTCGACATTTGTTATTGTGAACCTGCTAATCTCACGTTGAGTTCAATCATGTCGTACCTGATGACGTGAAGCATAAAGTATCATGTGATTACGCACGATATAATCCTCTGATACGAGCTACGCGTCATCATACACACTTACATATTGCTTCAGTACTTTGTGACATCTCAAAGAGCTCGGCCGGGCTATGCAATGTTCTATCTGCTAATTACAAAGAATATATGTTCAAGAATGTTCTAAGCTTCTCTTTTATATGCAATCTACGGAATAGGGTAATTAATGTCCTAATTATATCTCTCAAAGGTTGATGTTTTGATGGCTTCCATTGTGTGACGCAAGACTCGTATAAGTTTGTGGAATAACGAATACAGTTCTATAAACTCTCGCAGGCTTGGACTTAAGTTCGTGGGTTGGAAGTGCAATGACTGAAACAATGTCCTTTCTTATTCCTGAATTTGCGTTGGTTATAACAAGTGTGCAATCTACTGTTCTGATCGAGTCTCGTCAATTGTGACCGTGATGCGTCTCGCTATTGATTTTGCTGCATTGGTTATGACAAGCTTTAATACCAAAAGCTCAGCCCTCCCGGAGTCTAGCAATGTTGAAAGCCGCCGACTCAATCCATTCTGGCGATGAGCGGCACCTGCACCAACTCACTGGATCTCGGGATGGCGCTTGCGACGACAATGCGCTAGCGTGTGGGCAGCCGCCACCGCCACTGTGTCCGAGCTACTGTATCTATGCTACTTATGCACTATGTGCAGATGTACTATTTGCAGAAGAAGTAGTCAAACTACTGTAGCAAGCTACGTATGCACTATGTGCAGAGGAAGACAAGCTCACAGAGCTTCTACGTCTTAGGGTTTTGACCCTCCTAGGCTAGCTCGTAAGCTTGTGCCTATCGGTATTAACCGAGTCTCAGAGAGACTAGTATCAAAGATTCTGGTTCCTTAGAAGGAATAGAATTCTCAAGCTGTAACGCTTACAGAGCAGGTTTAAAACTAGTTTATATTTATGTTTATCTTCTAACACTAAGTATAGAAGCACCTACTCTATACTTAGTGCTAGTCACTATTTACTGGCTCTACAGCCTGTTATTATTATGCAAACATGCATAGTCACTATACTTTAAGTAAGCATAGTGACCACGTGGATCTCTGCCACGATGCGACCCTTCGTACTTCAGGTACGGTCACATCACCTACTTTTGTACCCAAGGTACATCCACACCACATTGGTGTGGCAGGTGTGTATATAATATACACACCTTTGTGCAACCCCGTTACACCCCCACCACTCCGTGGGACCCGACGTACCCATGATTATCGAGCTTAATTGGAGGCATCGATTTCATTTTCTTCTCATTTTGCTTGCCTTGCAATAAGTGCTTGCACCTGCAAACAAAGCTTTAGTGTCCCAACGCTTGCTCCTTGAGCACCTGTGCTTTGCGCACCGCTTTCTAAGCATCCTATTGTTACGACTCTTGCTTCTTTAGCATATAGTGCCTTGCACTCACGCTAAAGCACTAAGTGTTACGACACTTGCTTGTAAGCGTTAAGTGCCAAGCACTTGGTATTATTTATACCCTGTTGTTTTTACAAACACTTGCTTTCACAGCACTAAGTGCCTAGCACATGCGTTTAAGCATTACAGTGTTCACAACACTTGCTTTTAAGCATTACAGTGCTCACAGCACTTGCGTTATAAAGCACTTGTCCCTATAGAGCTTGCTCCATCATGGATGATGCAATGCGCCGCGACATCTTTGGGGACGATGACAGTGACGTTGCTTTTAGGGGCAGCGGCTCCGAGTCTCCGTTAGGTCATATTACCCCAAGAACACCTCGCTCACCGAGCGAGGGACGCCGATCCCGCTCGGTATCTTCTCCCCCAAAGGTTAACAACTGCATTGCGCCAAGCGCCATCGCTTTACTCGCGAGAGGGTGCCAACGAAGAGGTACCAACCCTCTTGACGCTGCATAGCGTCGTCAACTTGATGACGAGGCGCAGGTGGCCGCCTTGGAACGGTCCAAACAAACCTTTTCACGTCGTGATTATGGGTTCATGCCCCGGGACCCTAATGAGGAAGCTCGACGAGCTGCATCGCAATCTTTGCGTACCTATGTCATTGGATCCCAGGCGCGTACTGCTTGCGAGGTTGCGGATTGTGCCGCCCTTCGTAAGCGGCTCCTTACTCCCCAGGATGTTACGATGAGATTGTATCAGGAGCAACTGACACGACAGTCACGTGGTATGCTCGTGCACCCACTAAACGGCATACCAGTGGTGCTTGCACCAGGTGAAACATCTGCGCAAGATGATCACCAGTTCACCCGTAGGGTAGAACGAGCATGTAAGCTCTCAAGCTTGTCAAACTTGTGCTTAAGCGCTAAAGCGCAAACGTTTGGTTAGAACGTCGTCTACGTTTTAATTTTGCTAAGCTCAAAGCGAAACATCAATTAACTTCCACATACATGTCAAAGACTTAAGGGGGACAAGGTTCTGAAGCTGTTGCCCGTACCTCTCACTCGAGTGATGAACCGACATTGCCTTTTTCTGAAAGTCCGAGGCGAAGCCAGCCTACTGACACTACTTCCACAGCACCTAGTGCTAGGAAGCGTCCGACGACAGCTGTCGTCGCTTCTGACCGTCCTGGTCAAAAGAGTCAACGGCGTCAAGGCAATCCTGCCGGAGGGGTACCTCATACTCCCACGAGTCATACAATTGGGGGTAACCCCTCCACTTTACCAAGTATTGGGTATGAGCTCGGTGACGACGCTGAGCCAAGAGGCGTTCCACGTGGAGCTGTTGATGACCCCGGTCATCAATCAGCGTCGTAGAAGGTCGATGACCCATTGACCTCTCATCGCTCTGAGATTGAGCGTCGCCTGACGCTCCTGGAGCGTGATGCCCTTGCATCGGTGAGGTCTCACCTGTCATCGCTCGATGACCGTGTCGATCAACACCGTCGGTCTTTTGAGCGTTATCGCTCTGAGACCTTGAATCTCTTAGCGGCCATTGAGCGTTTTCAAGCCAAGCTTCGGTGTTAACTTGACCTTCTGGTACGCCTCCAGCGTCCATATGCACCTCCGGTGCCGTACTACCCGCCTCCTGCGGCCGGGGGGATATGGGGACAACCCCTCGAAGTCCACCAAGGCAGGGTTGAGGTATGGCTTAAGTAAGCCTACGTAGAACACAGGATGTGTTCTCATCTTCTTTGGAAGGTTCAGCGTATAGGCTAAACCTTTCTTGCTTATGACCTTGAAAGGTCCAATAAAGCGTGGACGCAGTTTGGTTTTATATACCGCAGACACTACACGTGTCGGTAAATTCCTAGCGTTTATATGAAACCAAATCTCCCACTTTGAACTCATGTTCGTTTTTCCTGCCTTCGGCATCCGCGTGATCCTTCTGAACATCCTGGCTTTCAGCCATAGCGTCTTTGACGCAACGTAAATACGTCAAAACGCGTTGACAGAAACGCTCCCACCTTTTTGCGCATAGCAACAGGGCTTATATCAGCCAAGCCTTCGGCTATCTCTCCCCCCGCTAAGCCCTGATGTGGCAGGGGTAGCGTTAACGGAACGCGAGGGTTGACCAAACCATTCACATAGAATGGGGTGAAGCCTGTCGAGGCATGCACCGCGTTGTTCAATGCAAAATCTGTGAGAGGGAGCA